AGTCAGTTTTCACTCCCAAGTAGTTGTTCTAGAATCTACCGTATCCAGACCACCTCTTTGGTCTATGTAGCCTAGCTGAAACCCCAGTAGTGTAACCAGGATGCCACAACTACGGCCGAAAACTAACCGTTTCTGCCTCCGGCAGAGACCTTCATGTCTACATCCTCCCAAAGCAAGTCCACACCACGGCTATACCTATCCTAAATCCGTAACCCTGCTTAGTCACCCTGCTTAGTTCCCTTTACTCATTAAGAAGAAAAGAAGAAGAAAGACTGCCATCAAAAGAAGTTGGACGCAAGAGCCAAGCTGCTACGCGCCCTAACCCAGAACAACAACAACAACAAGCATTAGCGTTGCAGCAAGGCTATATAAACCCGTTGCAGAGGCGTGCGGATTTCAAGGGAACGCCCACTACTTCTAATTTATATGTACGGTGGCCTTCGATAGACTGAGGCGGGCGTTTACTGGTGAGAAACAAATTCATTCAAAGCGTGTCCATCGCTTTGAAAGCGATGGACAAAGCAAAACCCAGCATCCCAATCCAGGTCAAGGTGTATAAGGGCAGACGTCACACGAAGGCATTCCAAGTTCCAACCATTCCAACCAAAGAGAGGCGCTATACCCCAAGATCTATACCCGGAGGCCGGAGATGCTTCTTTCCAACTGAACAAAAATAAGCCTAATCTAACCAGACCTAAACTTACCTACAACCTACAAACCTACAATCTACAAACCTACAATCTACAAACCTACAAACCTATAACCTACAGACCTACAACATACCCTACAAACCTACAACCTAAAACCTTGCTAAAACCTATGGCGCCTCTCCTCGATTGGAAAACCTTAATGTGATGTCTGCTCTACTAATGCTGTCGGTTCTGCATTCAGCATCCTGACCCTGCGGCCTGCTCTCAGGTTCAGGCTTTCCAGATTTTTTTGCTTGAGTACCTATTTATTGAATTACGCACAACATTGCAAAAATTAAGTACTTAAAGCATCAAACAAATTTTCAATTTTGATGATATGAGCCAACTAAAATGCTTGAGTAATGGGTAGTTTGCCTCAATTGAATTACATAATACCTACCTACAGATTGTCCAATGTCCATTGAATTGTATTCATTTGTTGAGTTGCCTTCATTCAACCTGAACTAAGGTCAGTAGGCGGAACTATGGTCAAGCGTACCCATTTTCGGGAACGCATTTTCGTTCCCATGTTTGGGAACGATAAACCCAAATATGGGAACGCCATGTAGGCATTATTTAAAACAAGAAAAAGAACCGTTAAATGACGTCCAAAAAATATAAAACGATCGTGAACCGCCTGATATTTGTCTCAATATTGTTGGGAAAGAGTTTGATATTGTAAGGCCCATCGCAGTTTCAAATCGTTCCCCTATTTCTAAAGCAGTCCATCATCCGGGCCGCGAGCCCAAATTTGGGAACGCTCTCGTACACTGGCGCTGCAAGCGTTCCTTATGATGGGAACGGCGTACCCAATATTGGGAACGATTTCACCGACGCCTTTCAGGGGCTATTTTCATTAACAAGCATCACGTCCAACGCCGCAAATCATTGTTAACACAACAATCATCAGATGACCTTTCCGGCAAGACCGTCGCATGTTTCGCCCGGTCTTCTGCGCTTTTATTCCCGTCGATCTCGCAGCGGGCACGCCCCCCTCTGCAGGATTACGTAATTCACAACGCTCAGCGATGTTCAACAAGGTCTTCCATGCCTATATCCACCGTCTGCGCCAAGGGTGGAGACATGTCAAGCACCTGTCTGTTTATCACCGATAGTTGACGAGCACAAGGAAGTATCCAAAAATGGGAACGCTGAATATGATACACCCTCAAAACACCTAGTCCCAATGAAAATCTAGTTTTTTCCTTTCTTAATGAGTGTAAGTGGCAAAAGGCCTGGTAGGATGGGCACGAGGAATGATCAAATTCAGCATAAAAATTATAAATAAGCCACACAGAGCGACCTATATAAGAGAAATTCACCCAAAACGATCATGCTTAGAAACACGGAAGACAAAAACCACGCTCATGACGCTCCTTATAAAACAACGCTAAACAGCTAGCATCCAAATAAAATATGTCTTTCCGGGCTGATAAAATACAGCTGAATAATTTTAAACCACTGAAACTGAGTTTACAACAGAAGTTCGGTAAAATCACTGACGTTCCACGCGGTCGTGCGCCCCGACACCAAAAGTCAACAATATTACCTCGGGACTGTCCGCGTGTTCGCTTGCATATGTCAGCATCTGGTGTCGCTAGTATGAAACTTCATAACCAGGCGAAAATTATTATACTTGACCTCAAAATGTAAAAACGCTTCATTTTCCTTAAAATTGCATGTTAAATGTAGTATAACCCATGTTTTCACCATTCCGTCATTTCAAAAAATCATTAAAAATATCATTCGACGGTCAACTTCCTTGTTCAACGGTCAGATTAAAGATAATTTTATAGAGACTTAGTAGATACTTAAGTTAGCGTGCACTTTTTTGAGACGTGGTGCACTTTTGAGTTTTCGTGAACGAACGGCCGAAAAATTGCCTTCCGTTCTCATAAATGGGAACGCCCGTTCCCATATTTGGGAACTCCGTTCCCAAAAATGGGAACGTTCCTATATTTGGGTACTCATTACCATAGTTCCACCTACTGAGGTGTGTCTTGAATCCAGACTGGACAAAAATACATGTTATGCCGAACATGCCCGGCGTAGTGGTGGGGTAGCATCACAAGTTTCAGCGCACGCCCGATGTAACCGCTCCAAGTTCAGTTCAGTGCCTGGCGGAGGCTGAATTTTCGGTGCAGGGTGGCCACAATTTTTTTACGAAAGACGGTCACCGAGTGATGGTCAATCTAGCAGCAGACTTGCTCTGCGGGCGGCTGTGAAAAGGTTTCGGGACGAGACGTCCCCGCCCCGGTTGTCGCGTGCTCGAACTGGCGAGCCGCCCTGAGTCTACTCAGTGGAGGAGCGGCCGCCCAGGTGAGGCCTCAACCCTCAGCGTGGAGATAGGTATGGAAGACCTTGTTAAACATCGCCGACTGCAGTGGGCTCCTGCCCACTGCGGTATCGAGGGAAATGGGAGCGCGGACGACCTCGGACCTGGTGAAACAGGCGGTCGCCCCGCCCTCAAACGCCCGCTCGCTGACCAGGGCAGTTCATTGTGCGGCCTCGCATCAATGGCACGACAACTGGTCCGAGTCACTATTCAAGCTACTCCTCGGGAGCACGCCGCCGCTCCCTATTCCCGGAGAGGACCGAAAGGACGCCGTTTCGATGCACCAGATAAGGGCGGGCCACTGGGGCCGCTCGCTCCAGTACGGCACCGAATCGGCTGTCTTCACTCCGCCGCGTGCCAGCAGTGCCCAGACAAGCGGTGCCCAGCGGCGCTCTGCGCCGTGTGCCGAGAAGAGGCTGATGTGCCGGAGGCCCGGAGCACGTGCTGCTCCGCCCCGCTCGACCCTCGCTGGCTCCCGCCAGCCTCGAACACACCACTCCGCCGATTTTTGTGGCCCCGGAACTTCCGGCTCCGGACTTGGTTCACGGCACGACGCTACAGTGCGCTAAGCGTATTGAGGTATTGGACTTCCGTGAAAAAAAACTTATTCGAACGCTCAAACATGGGAGAGCGTACAAGGCTCCAGAATGCTGTGTCTGGTTGATATAACCTTGATTGGTAGATGATCACATGTGCTTTATATAAAAGTAGCTTAATTTTGGCACAAATAGGCACCCAATTTTCGGCACAAATCATGCAGAAATTTCAGCGCAAAATCGCTTGCGCCGAGTTCCGGCGCAAGAGGGTCTCACGGGCGTCCGGCGTAGTTTATGGATGTTTTCCAGTTTGGACCTGTCTGGTACCCAGGGCTGCGGAGTCGATGGATTTTCGGCGACTCCGACTCCGACTCCGACTCCGGCTTCCAAAAACCAGCTCCGACTCCGACTCCGCAGACCTAGCAGGGCTGCGGAGTCGACAGATTTTCGGTGACTCCGACTCCGACTCCGGCTCGGGTTTCTAAAATCGACTCCGACTCCGACTCCGGTCACAACTGTCGACTCCGACCGACTCCGACTCCGACTCCGACTCCGACTCCGACTCCGACTCCGCAGCCCTGCTGGTACCTGACTATGATCCATTTTGTCATGTGCCTGCTCCCTAGTCAAACACAATGTCTAACCATATACACATATCTTTCTGATTTGAGTCTGACCAGAGCTCAGCTGCTGTTATTTGGCGATTGTTTAAAGTGCTGCTTAATCTCATCATGTTGCTGCAAGAAAAGCTGTGCAATAGCTTGTCTAATTAGTGATAAGTATCCGACCCAAAACCTGTATAGTGGGCGGCGCGTGGTCGCGGACTACATCAAGTTTTTGCTCAGTAAACCGGTTAAACAGTGGCGCAATCTGTGTCGAAGCTGTCTGTCTGGACTGGCGACAGTAGCTCTGGGGCCGTCTGTGGCGCGGCAGGCTCTGTTTTGACGCGATCTGTCAGTCACCCGACTGTGCAGTCTCACACCGTAGGGATCTATTGGTGCGCCGTGGTGTATCGTCCGCGGTGTTTGCTGTCCGCTGGGTCCGTTATAGCTGGTGACACGGTACGCGGTGGGTGTGATACCAACACAGTTCGGAGCAGTGCAGGTCAGCCGGGGCTGCAGTCTGCTTACTACTGCGGGCCGGTGAAGGAGCGGGGCGTCCTTGGTGCTGAGCGCTGTCCGGTGACAGGGCGGGGCCGATGTGATACCGCTGCCATAGCTGACAGTTCGCGGTCAGTGTCACACCGCTGTCATATCGCTCAGTGTGGGCTGTGAGTTGTGACATTGTGACAGTGTGGTCGGGTCGGTGTCACACCGCTGTCCGGTGAGAGACTGTGCTGTCAGTGACACCGCTGTCACACCTCCCAGTGTGTGCTGTAACATTACGTAGTCGGTTTGCTACTGCAGTGTCGCTGACGCCGAGCCCCCGTCCGTCCGTCAGATGGCGGCCGCTATGGCCGATACTGACCTGAGCTCCGCTGAGGGTGCCGGTCCGGCCGGACAACAGCCGGGTCAGAGCTCCGACCCGACGCCGGATCAGGAGCGGGCCGGTCAGGAGAAGCCGCCGAACACCGAGGAGGGGCCGGTCGAGCACCACCAGGTGCTGATTATCGGCGGCGGCGTCAGCGGCCTCTCGGCGGCCTCCTGCCTCGTGAAGAACGGCATCACGGACTTCCGGCTGCTGGAGGCGCGCGGCCGGCTCGGCGGACGAGTGGTGGGCATCACCGTCGGTGAGTACCGACCGGGGCCGGCGGGGCGGGCGAGGCAGGAGCGTGGACGGGGGTATATTATTGACGCGAGGGGTGATTGATTCTATCTATCGTCAGGTGGTTTGTACCCAATACCGAGAATTACGTCGTACAGCTGCGTAGACAGCGTAACTCGTGCAACACGAAGAGAATGCATACTAAATTGACTTATTTTCGGTAACCTGTGTTGTGTTTTACTCCATCAGTCGGCACCGCCGTGGGGTGTTCGTTGGCAAACTGCGGACCGGACGCTCATCCTGTATCTGTCACTGCCAGTTCTGTGAAACAATATGGTTCGATGTGCACCAGACACACATAACCCACAGTGCCCGCCCGACCCAGACGATTCCGTCTGCCGTCGGTTATCTCCCACCCTGCCGTGCTTTGCCACGGCTGGGGACCGGTCGGTACGCCCGGGGACGCCCTATCGGTCAGGGCAGCCGTGCCCTCTCCGTGAACAGCCGGTATCTGATGCACATCCTCTCCGCGGCGCTGCAGACGGACCGAACCGTGTTACCAACGGAGCGGCGGCGGCTCGGGCGTTATCGGGCCCCAGTGCTGCTAGGGCTCGGCCGAAACTTCGTCTCATTTTTCGGACGTTAATGAGGTCCTTGGACGATTTTATGAAGCTTGATTAGTTAAAACCCCGTTAGTTCGAGTTCCAGACAGGACATGCATTCGCTTCTCTAGTTCAATGAATATCGGATATGGCGTGCACTACTCGCTTAGTTTCCATTTCACCATTGCCATAGGCAGCTCATAGCTAGTTCATTAGGTAAACAGTAAACACGTGGTATCCGGCGTCACATGGTGAACCCGGTCGGCGGACCAAATGCACGGTCTGGTGGACCCCCGCGCGGCGGACCAATATCAGGCCTGGTGGACCCCCGCGCGGCAGACCAGCGTCAGCTCTGGTGGACCCCCGCGCGGCGGACCAGTGTAGGTCTGGTGGACCCCCGCACGGTGGACCGATGTTAGGGACTGGTGGACTCTCTGACTCGGGCTGTTTACCCTAAGACGTACCGTGACCGGCGTCGGATCGGTCCCCCGCGCCCTGTTAAATCATCGGGTGATGTGTCACTAGGTGATGTGTTGGTGATGTTCATAAACAGAGCAGCCAGCGGTGTCTGCTCATGGCAGGGGACGCTCTGTAACCAGCGATGGTGTGTTTACATAGCTGTTATTATGTGAGTGGTGGCTCGTATGAAGCGCTATAATGTTTAAAAGAAGTAGCCAAAAGGAGTTCGTTGGATAATACCAAAAAGGAGCTAATAATAATGCCAATGTCAATTGGAAAATACTTAAAAGGGAGAGATATCTTACTTATGGGTTCGAATATTGATCTTGTAAAACTTTTGCATATTCGACGTGCGGATATGGAACCTTCAGATTCATTGGGCCCTGTGGTGGATCTTTGTCCCTATTGGGATTTGTTTTAATAAATAAAATGGGGTCGTTGTTTGGTGTTGACGCGTTCAAGGGATGTAACACGATGAGGTGATCACTGGTCCGTGTGCCGTTTAGTTCACATTTACGGAGAGGATTTTCAGACAGACGAGTGAGTGAAACGATCTGCCTCACACCGTGTATATTTCTCATCCATTTTATTTTTTATTTTTTGTTCAATATGCTTGTCCTCCGAATGATCCGATCGCCATCATAAGTAAGGGTTCCTACCGATAGTTTATTTCGTTTCCGTTGTGAAATTAATTATCGGCCTATTTATCATGGAAATCGACCGTAGCTCGCTTGGTCAGCTCGGGCGCCAGGAAACATGCGATGGCTCAGTGCATCGGTCCGAACACCAGGCGATTGCTCAGCTCGTCTACTCCCACTCCAGACGGCTGCTCAGTTCGCCTGCTCCGACTCCAGGCTGATCTGCACGCCGCGCGCCTGGAGCCGCTGGTCGAGCGTGGTATCGCCGAACGCGGCTCCGGGCGGCAGCGCTCCGCCGCGGCCCGGCATTCGGTCCGTCTCGCGCAGCAGGCAGACGGCGCACTGGACCACGCACAGCGCCGTGGTCAGGTAGGCCGCCTCGGGGAACTGCATCCGCAGTGTGATTCGGGTGTCGGGCGGCCCGGCGGCGTCCGGCCGCCGCCAGCCCTCGCCCTCACACACCACCGTGAAGCGCGCCTGGCGCACCTGCTCGGCGGAGGGGCCGCGCCGGCTGATCAGCCCGGCCGACAGCCGCTCCGGGAAGGCGCGCAGCATCCACTGGCCGCCGGGCAGGAAGCACAGCAGCCCGAACAGGACGGCCGTGAGCGCGATCACCAGGCCGCGCCACAAGCCGGCCACGGCCACGTACTGCTGCATCTGGGCGGGCGGCGTGCCGCAGTGCCGCAGACGCCAGGCGGCCGACCGATGGTGCACCAACACGTCCGGCCCCAGGAACGGCAGGCACCAGCGGCCGCCGAGCGGCGCGGCGCGGTGCAGCAGGCCGCGCGAGCGCAGCGGGTAGCGGGCGGCCGGCAGTGGCGCCGGGAACAGCCGCCGCTGCAGCCGCAGCACGGGCAGCACGCAGGCCGTGCCGTGGATGCTGGACAGCCAGGTGCCCCAGTGGACGCCGCGGTAGCCGGCGGCGCCCGGCTGCATGTGCAGGTAGCAGCGGAACCCGCTCAGGCCGCCCGGCAGCGCGCGCTGCAGCAGCACCGAGCCCAGCTCGGCCGGGATCGAGTCGAAGCCGCACGTGCTGACCAGGTAGACGCCGCTGCGCTCGGCCTGGTCGTGCAGCTCGACCTGACACCGCTCGGCGAACAGCCGCTCGCCGCAGATGTCCACGTAGTGTGTGCCGGCGCGCAGGCAGGCGCGCACCACCGGCCAGCCCAGCTCGTGGTACGGCCCGGTGGCATTGATGAGCACGGCGGCGCGCTGGCACAGCCGGTTCAGGCTGACCGTGCTGGAGATATCGGCGTGCAGCACGCTCACCTGGCTGCTGACGGAGCTGCCGAGCAGCTGGCGCAGCCGGCGGGTGTCCCGGCCGGCCACGCCGACCCGCAGACCCAGCTGGTCGGCCACCGCGCTCAGCTCGGCGGCGATGTAGCGGCCCGTGAAACCGGACGCGCCGAGCAGCACCACGTCGAGCCGCTCCAGCGGGCCGACACCGTCACCGTCACCGTCACCCGCGGCGGCCGGCCTCGGCGGCATGGCGGCGGCGGCTGGTACGGCCTGTGTCGCTACAGAGACGGCAGGATGACGCTGGGCGCTGTGAGAGTCCCCCTCTGTGTGTGGGTGATGCAGCCGGACCCCGACCCAGTCACGTCTGCCGCGCGGGCCGCCACTGGCCGCCTCCTCTGCTCTGGAGAAGGAGGGCGGCGCCTGCTCCGACCCGCTCGGCGTCTGTTCGCCCACCGGCTGTGGCGCGGTGATGACCGGTCTGATGACCGTCTAATGACCCCTGATGGGCCATGTGTGCTGATGGGTGGCACCTGTGCCGTGCGCCGTCCGCCGCCCCTCCGCCGTCCGCCGCCCCTCCGCCGTCCGCTGCCCCTGCCGCCGCCGGGGTCGGATCGATCGCGGTATCATCAGTAAACACGCCTGTGTGAGTTTGTACTTAGATAGTCCCAATTAGGCTTCCGTCGGGTGATTACGGAGCGAGCGAAGCGAGCGTAGTCTTTCCTTAGATTAACGGAAATTTCTGAGCATGAGCGGCCGGCCGGCCGGCCGTGGTCACGATTCTGCGACGCTTATATCTCAGCAACCACTTGACCGATTTACACGCGGTAATTTTTGTAGGGTAGCTTCATTCCTTCTACCAAGTATTGGACTATTCCCGATGCATGTGGGTGACCCCTTATGCACGTGCCACGTGCAAAACGAAGAGGTGTCACTTTTGTAATTGTTGCAATATCTCGGTAACTACTTGGACGATTGCGCTGAAAGTTGGCATGTAGGTAGGCACCCACTAGGCAATGCATATCCATGTGCCAGAATTGGGGTGCTGCTGCACGTGCGCACGTGCAGGGGTCGATTCCAGATCTCGAGAACGGCTGGAACGATGGCGCTCAAATTTGGCACATGGTTAGGGACCGGTTAGTAGGGTGCCGTGCAAAAGTCAGTTGGGACCCATTTTGCACGTGCGCACGTGCAGGGTGCCGCTTCCAGATCTCGAGAACGGCTGGGCCGATTGTGCTCAAATTTGGCACATCGCTAGAGACCGGTTAGTAGGGTGCCGTGCACAAGTCAGCTGGAGGTACCCCCTCGAAATTTCGCACGTGCAGAGCTCACCCTCTCGCTCGCTCCGTTAGTCGCCCCAAAAGGCGTTATACTGGTATGTGGGGTGGCTTCTCACTGGAGGAGCTGCTCTCTGCCTCCGCTCCAATTTGTTGAAAGCTCCCTTCTCTTCTGCTCGTCTCGCATTAGGCGTATTGTCGATACTTATCGTTCGGTATCAAGCGTTCGAATTACCTTCAGTCACAGCTTCCCTGTCCCCGCATCACTCTGTGTCAGCGAGTCGCGGCCGGTCGAATGTTTGACACGGCATAAAAGGTATGAAAAAAATTTGCGTGTCCGTATGTCGTCGTCGGGCATTCATATCGGCTCAGGACTTGCAGGGTATATAGAACAACAGGACATGTGTGGTCATATTTTTCGCCGTATAAACCACTGGACTCTTGGCGAGACAGAAGGCATTCATGCCTCATGCAACTGATATAAAACATTTATCGTTAGAACGGCATTGGGTCTGAGAACTGGAGGCGGAATGTTATTTGTGTGCCGGGATGTCGTGACAAGTGAGGTGGTAGCACATACGACTATCACACATACCCCTCCTGTCGTGAGGCGGTAGCACAGGCTCACACGTGCTCCTACTGTCGTGAGGCGGTAGCAGCTGCCACATTGGCCGCTCGGTCGGACTGGCTGCCTGCGCGGACACCGACCGAAGGTACCGTGCGGTCTGCTGGTTTGTTCAGGTGGCTGGGTGCACACACTGGTAGATAAGCCGCGCCGCGACCCGCCGCGTCCCGCCGCGACTCGCTGACGCAGAGAAATGCGGAGACAGGGAAGCTGTGGACGAAGATAACATAGTTCTTTTGGACCGCGGCTGCTTGTCTCTGAAATTGACTGTTGTGCGATACCAACATTTATATACAACACCTCTGTCTGCTCGACCCTGCAGCTTCCGTACATACTACTTAATCCAAACAATAATATGTCAATTCGCGACTTGTCATCTGTCCAGATGTCTTTGTCCCCCCCCCCCCCCCTGTGCAAGATCTGGCGACCATGATTGGAGGCGCGAGCTGATCACGTTAAGTGTTGGCGTGAATTTAGACTTGTTTTTTTTTTGTAACGCAACAATTCTTTTGTCTCCCTCGCATTTTCTTTATTTATTTTGTCTTCATTTTCCTTTGTTTTGTTTTTTTTTTCGCAGGAGCTACCCGTTTAACCTCCCTCTCTCCTACAGTTGCTGAAGCTGGGCGCCACGTGAAGTTATAACCCTCCCTCCCCCTTTCCCCCACAGACCAGCTGAAGGTGCACGCTGTATAACCCCTCGCTCCCCCTCTCCCCTACACACCAGCTGAAGGTGTCATCCCGTGTATACTGTATTACCCCTCCTTCCCTCCCCCCTCCCCACAGACCAGCTGAAGCTGCAGCTGGGCGCCATATATAACCCCTCCCTCCCCCTCCCCACAGACCAGCTGAAGCTGCAGCTGGGCGCCATGTGGATCCACGGCGTGCTCGGTAACCCCATCTACGAGCTGGCCGTGCGCAGCGGACTCATCAAGTCGATCCAGGACCAGCCGGTACACAGCCTGATGGCGTGCAGGGAGGACGGCCGGCCCATCCCCTTCCACATAGTGCAGGTCAGTCACAGATCGACCCCCTTCCACATCATACAGGTCAGTCACACGCCGCTCCGTATCGTACAGGTCAGTTACACACCGCGAAAGGAGGAGAACGATGATAGATAAAAATGCGGGAGGCAACGTTCTGCTGGAGAGAAAGGCAAGATGTGATCCTCTTGTCGAAGAAACGGAGAGAAATAATTCGATTTGGAGTAGCGGGGAGGCATGACAAATGTTCGGGAGATAAGGTAGAAATGACTAGGCTAGATAGAAACTGGGGATAGGATAGTGTTGATAGAAAGCATGGAAGACGGGACGCTGCCTGGAGGAGGGACGGGTAGACGGGTAGGCGGGAGGGGCGCGTCACCATGCGGCGTGCGGCGGCCAGGTTAGTATCTGGCCGGCTGTCTTTGTTTTCGGACTTGGCAGTGGTTAGGGCTGCGCTGGAGTCAGGGCTCCGTGCCAACGCAGCGTCACTGAGCGTTGCATAATTGGCTTACACTTGTTCATCATGCATACACACTAGAAGCGGTGTGAGCTGACTGCTGACCATTGCTACGATGTGTGTTGAGCGATGGTTTGAATGATAAATATAAAATAGTAATCATTATTAACCCTCGCCGGACCTATTGGTTTTCTACATACGCGCCGGCCGAGGGGGGGGGGGGGGCGGGTACGACCCCCCCTCGCCGTTTCGCCCCTGGTGGAGCTAGCGCGTCGCGGAAAAAACGAGCGTGTGCGCCGTTACGAGACGCAGAGATTGGTACCCGATTTTAAGGTCCTAGGTCAACCGGTGACCTCTGAGGTCAGGTCAAGTGCCCCAGGGTACGGTTCAGTTTTTGGTGAATAACTTCGCAAAAAACGGCCGCAGAGCCGCGATTTTGGCAGCATCGTGTTCGCCTTGCTCAGGCGCGTCGAATGATATACTTTTTGTTCGGGTCAGGTCAACTTGGGGTGTTGACCTCAGGTCAAGGTCAGGTCAGCACCCCCAGGCCACGAAGTTGGTCGAAAGAGGTCATGTCGCATATCATTCGATTCGGCAGGTCTTCCTGAGTCCATTGGTGGCTTTCTCGACTCGCTAGCTCAATTTGATCGGGAGTTATTGACGAAAAACTAATATGACCTTGATGACGTCATAAATGACGTCACGGAAGGTCAACATTGCAAAAGTGACGCATCTAACCTTGCAAGGAGTGCATCAAATCACGATTCTGTGTGCTTGAGATAGTTGGAGATCGTTCCCGGCGCCAGAATAGCAGTTTTCATTTTTCCCCATTGACTTATAATGGTGAGGTCACGAAAATGACCTGACCTCATATGACCTTTAGGAAAAATCCGAGATATACAAGTTGTGAGACTCATAATGGATACTAGATCCTGCAAGTTTCATTTCCCTGTGACATCTCCTCTGGCAGTGAGGGCGTTGCGAAGTTGCGACATCTGAAGACCGTGCAGAGGTTCACTTATGACGTCATAGGTCAGTGACCTGACCTGACCCAAAAATTCGGTTGGTGTCAAAAGATGCGGCTTGGATCAAAGGTCAGGTATGCCAAGTTTCAGCTCTCTATCGCCAGCGTGTTCGGAGCTATCGCGAAAAAACCCTATGGGGGGGGGGCGGCACCCGCCCCCCCCCCCTCGGCCGGCGAGGGTTAATGCTGCCGAGTTATTTAGAACATCCAATTGGGGATGTCAATTTCTGCGCTGTTTGACTTCAAACTCGAAAACCCTGAACATTCTTACGATAGTATCACATGAGTGGAGTTGGAACTAAACATGGTGATTTTTACAAAGCAGACCAATGTTTAGCAGACCTTTATATGAATACTCAATGGCGGCAAGCTGATCAAGATACGTGCCGGCTACACACATGTTGACACATGTTGTTAACATACTAGCACACGCTAACACATGTTGACTGTTGCGTACATGACTGCGCACTACATTGTGCACAGTTTGCTAAGCATTGAACCTTTTGAAATGTACTTCCTGAAGTCCTCAATCAGCAATGAATACCGCAATATGATAACGCAATATGATAGTTTCACTCATTGTCTGCTGTGCGGTCGCTTACAACCAAACACCTCGAACGTTTCCAACGCTGATCATTGACTCACCGCTACTACACTTATACCGAACTCTACCCGTATCCCCCACAGGAGGTGTACGACGCGTATGAGCAGTTCATGGACCGCTGCGTGGAGTACTTTCTGTGCAAGTACGAGCCGCCGGACGGGGTCCGCTCAGTGGGCGAGCACATTCGTCTGGAGGTGGACCTGTACCTGGCCGGACTGCCCGAGCGGGAGCGCGACGTGCGCCGGCTGCTCTTCGAGTACCTGCTCAAACGCGAGGCCGTCATCGCCGGGGCGCACAGCATGGACGAGGTGAGACTGAGCGGGGAGGGAGAGGGCGGGGAAGAGTCGAGTGGGAACGCGATGAGAAGATGCATTTGGGATCGCCCTGTTGTCAGATCGGGTGTAGTCGAGTGGGACGCCCGCTTTTGTTATGCCACGTGTGACGTGATTGCCACTGACTTGTGATGTGGGGCCCCACCTGGTATCTGTGTGACCGTCACCTGTCACCTGTCTGTCCTGTGACCTGTCACCGGTGTTATGTAAGGTGACCTGTGACCTGTCCTGCCACAGGTTGACCTGCTGGAGTGCGGCACGTACTGTGACCTGCCGGGCGGCAACATCCTGCTGCCGGAGGGCTACTCGTCGATCCTGGGCCCGCTGCGCCAGGACGTGCCGCCGGAGACGCTGCTGCTCGGTCACCCGGTGAGCCGGGTCAGCTGGGCGGCCCGGCCGGACCGCGTCACCGTCACCTGCGAGAGCGGCCGCCGGCTGTCGGCAGAGCACGTGGTGTGTACTGTGCCGCTGGGCGTGCTCAAGGAGCGCGCCGAGCGGCTGTTCGAGCCGCCGCTGCCGGCCGCGCGCACGGCCGCCATCCAGCGGCTCGGCTTCGGCACCGCCAACAAAATCTTCCTCGAGTACGACCGTCCGTTCCTTCCGGCCAACGTCACGGAGCTGCTGCTGGCCTGGGGCCCGACCGACCACAGCCAGCCGGTGGCGCAGCGCTGGCAGCGCAAAATCTACTCCTTCTCCAAGATGTCGGAGACGCTGCTGCTGGCCTGGGTGGTGGGTGAGGAGGCTGTTCACATGGAGACCCTGCCGATGGAAGAGGTCGGCCGGGTGTGCACGGAGGTGCTGGCTACCTTCCTGGACGACCCGTGTGTGCCGCGGCCCAAACGTACCGTCTGGTGAGTCCAGCGGGGGGGGGGGGGGTCGGGGACGACCCACAGTACATACAGTGCTGTTAGTGGTGGAGTATTTGGTTTGTTCAGGTGTTTCGTTTCCCCCAGCTGAATACCAGCTGAACATACTGGTTCTTTCTCACACTCGTGTCGAGCCGCCTTGAAGTGCAAACTGTTACCGTCGGAGAGTATTTGCGGTAACTACTCAAAGGCGTTGCGCTGTTTGCATGTTCAATATTGTGCTCGTATGTATATGTATTCTCCAGCATAAAGCTTCCGACTGAAACGTTGGCAGGCAACGTTTAAGAACGAGCAATGATCTAGGCGGCTGATCCGTTCCTGATTCCGTTCCAAATTACAGAGCGTCTTCAACAAGGCGTCTCCAACTCATTTTAGTAACAGCTGGCCTTTATCGCACTAATCCCCGTACGCAACAGACGCACGCCCCGAGTCCAAGAATCAGACATTTCACATCGTGACCTGCCGGGCCACATTGAAGATCTGCGACCCGTCCACGTGACGACGGAGCCCATCACTCGCAATTAGCGTTTGTTTGTGTACACTGTGACTCGCTGGCGTCCCTGTCGTGTATGTACAGTTATACACATCGCTGGCCGCTGTACCCCGGCCGCCACTGACCGGTACAGTGTGACTGGACGGTGGTCCTGACGTGTACCCGGCGCCGGTCGCTGTAACTATGCCGCCACTGACCGGTACAGTGTGACTGGACGGTGGTCCTGACGTGTACCCGGCGCCGGCCGCTGTACCCCCTCCGCCACTGACCGGTACAGTGTGACTGGACGGTGGTCCTGACGTATACCCGGCGCCGGCCGCTGTACCCTGCCGCCACTGACCGCTACTCTAACCGTCCGCAGCTCCGGCTGGAAGAGCCAGCCCTACTCGCGAGGCTCCTACTCGTTCATCAAGACGGGCTCCACGCAGGCCGACATCTACACCGTCGGCTCGCCCATCCTCGCAGAGGACGGAAAAACGGTCAGTGCTATACAGATAACCTCATGGGTAGCAACAGGACTCATGGTGTCTGGAGTCGGGTAGATAGTTTGATTACCGTTAGAGCGGTGCTGCAGTTGTTATATGTAGCCTCGGATGCAGTAGGTGAGGTGAAGACAGTGGATTATTCATGGCGTACTACTAAAAGCGCCACACTTGCATCTGCCAGAAGTGGGACAAAAATAGGGACTGCATTGGTGCAATAGTGGCTGTTGTTGTCGGTCGTCCCAGTGGATACGGGATAATGATTGTAGCTACCTCCCATCATAAAACGTGAGCTCTACTCCAATTACGCCATCAGAGTGACGCCACATCTTCCCACTCGTCAGGTTCTTGGGACATTGTTGTGTTGTCCACATGTTACCCTAAGCAGCACTCAGTTCGTGCCTTGTCGTTTGAAAAGCAAAGGCAGGAAGAAAAGTCGCAGAAACGTCGCTTGTGTTGTTCTTTACTCGTTACTGATAAGGATAGCAATGGTTGGTTATTATTCTTGCATGCTATTTTTCCAGTACCTAGCGGCTTTCGACAGTTGCGACTGCAGCCGCTGACCCAGACAGATCTGTTTGTCCGAGTCATACATTGACCATTGTCACTGACTGGCGCCCTCTCCGACAGCCTCGTCTGCTGTTCGCCGGCGAGCACTGTCACCCTAGCTTCTACTCGACGGTGCACGGCGCCTACCTGACGGGCCGCAGCGCCGTGCAGCAGATCCTCTCTGCCACAGCGACGGCCGACGACGGCCGGCCGGCCGCCGCCGCCGACGAGCCGCCCACACTGCACCAGCCTGACGAGGACGCCACCGACCTGAGCGCCTGGCTGGCCGGCATAGACCTCACCTAGCCGCCGCCACAGCCGCTCGTAACATGGCCCGTAGAACACAGCGCCGTCCGTCCGACCGACCGACCGCCGGACGGCGCCCACCGCGCCAGGGTTTCATAGAATGTGTGACGCCGGTAGGGGTAGACGCGGGACGGGGTGGGTTTTTTTGGGGGGACGGGGGAGGGAGGGGACAGTCGGACTGGAGCACGCCGCCAGCTATTTGCTTGCGTTGCCTGCTCGCCGTCCCCCTTTTGCGGTGCTTCAGTGCGGGGCGTTTGACGTCCGTTTTGTGCCGTGGCCGCCTCTCAGACCCGCGGCAGCGGCGGCGGTCGCCTTGAGACCAGTATACGTGTATGTATTTACATGACATTGCCTTGCGTACATAAGTATGCGGTACAATTGTGCGAGCCTAGTCGGTTTGAGACGATGTGCAATCGAGACGCAGGTCGAGATATTTGAAATACAAGATGAGAGAACAGCATATGTTGTGTCCCGACTGGCTCGCTGCCTGGCGAATGGCACGGAGCGTAGACAGGCATCATGAGCTAATGTAAAACATTTCACTTCATTACATTGTCTCTGTCTAGCATGACGCAATCGATGTTCGATTCGAGTTAGGATAAATACGTGCGAAGTCGCCTACCACAAAGTCATCGCGCGATCATTGGCTAAATAACAGTCATCTGCAGTCATCGGCGGTCGGTACAGCTCATCAGTCGGATCACCCGGCGCCGGTCGGCTCGGCTCGGCTCGTCTGGACTCAGAACCAGGACCACCAGCCGACCAGCGCCGACTTGCGCACCATGCAGAGCGCGTAGCCGGCCGAGCCGCGCGAGCCGGTCAGTGCCAGCAGCACGTCGGCCGTGATGACGACCAGTAGCAGGGCGCCCAGCAGCAGGCCGAGCCGGGTGCGCCGCGATTGGGCGCGCCACTGACGCTCCGAGGTGCGCTGCTTGGCGTCCAGACGCTCCTGCAGACACTCCAGCTGAACGCAGAGCGGCGAGGGAGGTAAAGGACGGTCAGAGGAATATCTGAGAGGGTCCGGGTGAGACTCATGCTGAAGGAAGTTTTTGAAGACGAAGGAACGAATGAAGACCAAACTATGTGGAAGTCTGTTGTTTGAATTCAGTGACAGATTATATTTTGTTGTGAGGCTAATGGGGAAAAAGGTGCCATCACAGAGCGCCTGCCTACCTTGTCGCCGAGGTCCCTGATCTGCATGCCGATCATGACCGACATGCCGTCCCGGCGTCCGGACTCGACCACGCAGCGCAGCTTGTGCTCGAACCGCTGGTCATTGGGCAGGTTCTGCCGGCACGTCAGCGCGTGAGAGGATATGTGAGACGCGCTACGTGAGACATACCGAAATGACGGTGGCAAGTTCAAACTGTACATAGTCTAGCAATAGTAAACTATCCCATTTAGAAAATGGTAACGGCTGGTAGAAGATTAAAAGGAAAGGAAACAGAGCCACCCATCGATTAACAAACCCCACATCGATTATTCGTTATACGTTGCTTCCTTACCTTCCACAATTTGCAGAGCTCCTTCTGGCAGAGACAGTCGCTGGACACGGGTGTGGCCAGCAGCAGGAACTTGTCAGAGGCCACCTGGCTGACTGAGAAACCCTCGCAGAGCGCCAGCTCGATGGTCACGTGACAGCCGGGCGAGACGACGCCCGAGCTCGGCTTGACGCGAAACTTTTCCGGAGAGGTGGTCTTGACCTGCCGGGCCGCGGCGCGTGAGGAACAGACCACTCACACCACAGACGATAAGGAAACGGTCCGGTGTGCGACCCACTCGGGTATGTCATGCGTTATGGAGGATACAGAGGACAGAGGCTCTGACGAGTTACCTCGGGACGCATCACGAGTAATAGAGCAAGTCACCGTTCATCACGAGAGCCTGACAGGTGGAAAAAATATTGAGTCGGTATGAATAGGGAAGTAACATTGTCATGACGATGACGCAGGAAATACAGCGTCTTTCGGCCAATAATGTCCTTACTTTGAAGGCAACAGGTCCTGCGTTGATGTTGTTCAGCGTGATCGGTATCCTTGCATTGGGTAGGTCGGTAGGAAACCGCACCTCTTCTCCGGGCGACACGGTCAACAAGTCCGCTGCAAATACAGTTAAAATGTTATGATAAAATGATAGTGCAATGCTAAAAGCACTGATATTTCTTGTGACATCTGAGTATACGGAAAATACAGCAGCATCCTATCGGCATTTCAACGCGGATACAGAAAATCGTTGACTTTGCACTGTAGATATACGGATCGATGACATATTGGTCACATGAATGGATTTTTACATACCTATTTCGGCTGTATCGCATCCCATCTTCGATTCGCTGGTTCGTGTTCGTTCTCGACAACGGCTCCTGATTTTACCACGAACTACCTGGTGCGTTATGGTGCGTGTTGAAGTCATCCATGAAATCTTGTTTCACACTTTTTAACGATCCTAGCACGGCTTTCCAGACAATTAAATAATTCGAAAATGCTAGCATACCGCAATACAAGTCATATAACATACAGTTCGCTTCTTACAAAAACTTGACATAAAATTCGAAGTTGTTCGCATTTGACATAATTTGTTTTGCTGCAATTTATTTTTGCGCAGACGCACGCGGCAAAATGAGATAGCTCCTTATATCAGCGAAACCACATCACAAAAGGCAAAAACCATTTAAACCGAAAATTAGCATAAGGATGCTGTACATTCAATGTAAGGTAACAAGGAAATACGGATTGTCATTTTCAAATAGAAATCCATGCATCATATGCATCTTTCATTTTAATATGCATCACTAGATAACACAAAATTACTGAGCTTTAATGATTCTTCATGACAACAAATTTGTTTTACTCTTTGATGTCAAAGTTTGCCCTTGCTCACTTCGATTCGAAGTTCAAAGAAAATACACACGATCCATGACTCTTCTAGTCTCGAATACCTACATCCTTTCAGTCCACACCACGGTCACATCAGCACACACGGACCGTTAACGACCTGAGGCGTTTATTTTCTCTAAAGCAGAGCACAGTAACTAGCACGCTCTGAAGTGAAGGCTGTCCGTGACGGTCAGACGGGCGGCCGGCCCGGGCGCCCCTCCCGAGCGGGACGCGCCCGGACCGCCGCGCCGCCCGGCACTGGCTCCGACACGCAGAGACACAGACGGCGCGCCACGCGCCGTCAATTCGGATAGGGGAAGCGGGGCGGGCGAGTCGCCCGAGCTGCTGGAAGCTACCTTACGTGAAAACGGCCGCCGCCGGCCGCCAAAACAGTCATGGTATCCCGCTATATAGAAGCTCCATTCGTCAGAAAAACGCACTCTTCCGTTAGTCCGCATCTAAAGCCGAGTACACGCCACATCTAAATAATAAGGACCACTAGGCAGATGGTGACTAGACCGATAGCTTTGCTACGTATGGGTGCGGCTACGGACCGCAGCAGTCACAAAACAAAACACACACAAATGAACAGCGTCGGCGCGGCGCGCTATTGCAGAACCAGCTGCCGCCGCGCGCAGCACACCCGCGCGCCCTGTCAATGCCCAATAGACGGTCGGCCGGGCCGGTCGCTCGGCGGGAACCATTCCAGTCATCGCACAGTGTCGGAAAACCGAGTCCTGCCCGCACAGACACTCCACTCCGCAGACACTCCACCCGTCCGCACACAGCTGCACAAACTCACTCACTCCGCGGCCAGGAACTCCGGAACACACTCGGTACTCCACTCCGGAACTCCGGCCACCACTCACCACACCGACACTCGCGCCCGGCATCCGCTGCCGCGTGATAACTCCGCCCAGCTGCGGTGTTTCCTCACATTCCTTCCTCGCACTCGTCCGCGCCACCGCCGCATTCACCATGGTAACTGGGCCGCCCCTCAGCGGCTGTCCTGTACACGCACCATGCGGCCATGTCCCGTGTCCCGTGCGAACACCGTGTTCGGCAGTGTGCCGGGACACTCTGCAGTCCGCCGGTCAGGGCAGAGTCGCGGCGCGCGGCGGGCAGACTCACAGGTAGCGGTGCTCCAGCTGGCAGAGTGTGCTGTGTGCAGGGAGACGAAGCTCGGGGTGGTGGTATTATGCCGCTCAGTCGGCCGACAGCCGCTCAGCCCGCCTAGAAGAGCCGGCCGCGCTTCTTGAGGTCGTTCCGCCGCCACAGCGGCAGCCGATAGAAGTCGGCGCGCGACATGTGGAAAAACATCTCGAACTCGGCGTCCGAGAGGTGACGCTGTGGACAGACCCAGCGCACCCGCGTCAAACACAGCGCAGTAGCAGCGACATCACAGTACACTGGCGTCAAACACAGCGCAGTAGCACTGCACATATCACGGCACAGCGACCACAGCAGATGTACCGCACTCGGCACACAATGGAAAAATCGACCTGACCACAAGACTTATAAAATATTGCAAACAACACGTCAGCTTCCGCTTCTGGAAATGCACCACTTGCACGCTACACACCCAGCAAAAATCACACGAAAACGGTGAACGGTTGACTCAACGCCCCCACAACACTGTCCAGCCAGCTCAAGCAACATCAGCAATGGGCAGAAAACAGTCTCAATCCACCATGCGATTGCTTATGCCCCACAGAAAGAGGCAATTTAATTCAAATCTTTTACTAAATTAGTGAGCTACTAAATTAAATTAGTGTTTAACTGTTTACTTATGTCAATTGAACCCTGTCCATCACTCCGATAACTCCCCTACTGGTTGCTACCCCATACCTTCAGGTTGGCGCGGTCGGCCGGCCGCCGGTAGTTACCCCCCCCCCCCCCTGATTACAGTACGTACAGTCACCAGCAGTTGCTACCCATCACCCCCGGACGGCGGGGGAGCAAGCTACCACCGCCCCTGCGAGACTAGCGCCGCCATGCGCCAAGAAGTGGAAACACCACGTGACTGAGGCCACGTGAGGGCAGGGTCACGTGATGGAGGGGCGGAGCATAGTAGCTTTTGCGCCCGACACTAACTGAAATGCGGCGCTGTGATTGGGCGCCTTAGCATGAATGAAGCCCCGGCGCCAGAATCAGCCGTTCGCCTTATATTGAAAGTGAGCCTTTGCGTTTCACTGTTCTGTATTGGTTTGAGAGCCACGGCACCATACGAATTGTGAGCCCCTTTGAACGGGTCACCGCCCGAGGCACTGAGGCGACGGCTGTGCCGGGCAAAGTCTCGCCTGGTGGGAGAGGTGGGCCAGGGAAAGTGCGATCGAGTAGCCACTGGGACGTGGATTGGTATTATCCAACCTCGACAAACGATGTCAGCAGCCTCTTCTCGTGTCATAGACACTGTCTATGACACGAATTGCTAGACAGACAACGTGGGCAGTGCCCAATCAAAAGCTACTAAACGATCCAGTTAAGAAGTTGGCGAGGTAGCCAGACCAAATAAAAAGTTTTTAATTCGATTTTGGTTTACAAGTGACATACAAGCCCGCTGTGATGGACCAAAAAAAGGAGCTGAACAGTCCATACAACTTCAAAAAAGCTCAACGGTTTAAAACTTCAAAAATCAAATGTTAAAATTCAGCCCGCATGTTTAAACTCTGGTCCGGCGCTGGCAGGAAGCTTATATTGCCACTTGCGATTCCACTACGTTGTAATATAACCAAGAGTTCTGTGAGAGCAGCAACTGAAAGCCCCGTTGAGGGGGGGGGGGGGCGGCGCGAAACGGCCCCCTCTCTCCTTTTCAGTCGATATCTCCTAAAGTATAGCAAATGTCGCCACCAAACTTTCAAGACCCCTCCGGGCATCATTTTTACACCTTGTGACCAAATTTTTCCACAGCTCTTATGAAAGGTTAGTCACAAATGACGTCAGAGGGATGTCATGTTCTGTCATTTTCGACCCAATAAAAGGTTTAGCGGGAAGAGCTGTCACGCTTACAGTTTTGAAGATAACGAAAAATATTCAAGATCAAACAGTTGTAAAATAAACAGCGCTACCAAACTGCTAACTCTTATTTCCAAACAAAAATTGATTTTGACCATCAAAACAAAACTATAGAAGTATAACACCCCGAAAATACCAACAACTTTCAAAACTAAAACTGAAATATATGTTATAAAACTATCTGCTCTAGATATGCCAAACTTAAACTCGATAGCTCCATCTCTAGCAAAGTTATGGCAAAAAAAAAATCTCAAAATTTATTACGTAAAATTTTCAAATTCAATTTTAGCCGTCACAGAACACACAAAGCAAGCCAAAGGCCACCATTGGATTTCCTGTGATGAGCTGCATCGAATAGATACCCCTTTTATGCAAAATATCAACTTTGAAATTTGACCTTCTTTGACCTGACCATGACCTGACCTCCACCAGAATGTAATCTAAACTGGCCCCAATGGCCGTCAAGCTCACACCATTGAATTTTAAATGTAAAATTGGCCATAAAACATGCATCACACGACCCTAGCATAGTTGGGTTCATATTGTGACCCTTAGTGACCTGACCTCTGTGAACTGACCTGGCATCAATGACCTCTTTAGGCAACATATGTATTAGACAACCAACGTTCCATCGATGTTTTTCGATAACATGCGTTTTATTTGATGTGTTAACTGACTGTAACGCATTCCTTAGACTAAATCGGTGAAAAAATGCGACCTCTGACCTGACTTGTGACGTCATGGGTTGCACCTAGGTCAACGAAACCTGGTAACAAGATAGTTACCTGGTGGGGCTATCGAACGCTCTTTGAATGTTTAAAATCGGTCGGTAACTTTCCGAGATCTCAGGTGGAGGGCGAAACGGCTGCAACACCCGATCAGGTGGTAGGGTCCGCCAATAGCCCAAGAGGGCGCGGAATATTTATTCACTCATACAGTGTCATTTATATTGAGAACACCTTTCTCACGCCATGACATGGTCCTCTCGTAATAGAACGAGATGAGGAGTGTTTTCACGCCTCCTTATGCACGGCTCTAAGTGTCATTGAGCTATCAACTGTCAGCGGTTTTCGGACAATGAAGTTCTTAGTTCTTACTGAATCCAATTTTATTTCAAACGATTGTCACTGTGCTAGTTTTCTTCTTATACGTTTTTGAAAAACGCTGAAGAAGTCTTTGATAGACGAAACCAGTCCGCTTATTCTTTTTCTAATTGTTTTTTGAATATATCCGTAGACTACTGGCTCTTTACTACAAAATTTGAGAATGTTTGGTATTACTTTGGCCCGAACGATGTGCAGCTGAATTTTCCCTCTTGAATGATTATGGACAGCTCGCGCTCAACCTAAACTACCGACAAGCAGAAGAAAATCCGATACACGCCTACCTCAATCCTCTCACCTTATTCAACCGTTGAAACGTTGAAGGCATTTGTTCAGTCCGAGTCGCTATGTCGACCACCCGCGCCGTGCTGGGGGGGGGGGGGCGTTCTTACGCCCTTCCCCCTCAGGTTTTTTTCGCGAATATCTAAAAAAAACGGCGACGCGACGCGTAGCGTCATTCAAGGTCAGGTCACCAGGGCCTCGTTTCATAAAGCGAGTCCGTAACTTACGGTAGCTTTTGGTCTTTTATTGCAAGTGCATGTGAAGCGATGACGTTAGTTTGAATCGTTGAATTTATTTATCTTGCAAGCAAGAACAGAAGGGAGAAGGGGAAATAAATTTATCGCTTCACATGCACTTGTAATACAAGACAAAAAACCGGCGTAAGTTACGGACTCGCTTTATGAAACGAGGCCCTGGTAACGTCAAGTGACCTTACCTCAGAAAAAGAAAATTCGAAAGCTCGTTGTAGCTACACCGACTGAGCGATCACTTTAAAACTTTCCATGCTTGCTTAGGGTAACAGTAGGTATATATAAAATGGATACCTCGGTTTTTTATGTCTGTGACCTAAGGTCAGGTCAGTTTTGTTTGCGACTGCTCCATTAGGTATAAGTCAATGGGAGAAAATTGAAATGCGCCTCTTTTGGACGAATTTCGTTCTACACCCTCTCAAACATCGGTCCATAGGTAAACATGACACACTGAATCGGAAAATTGCACCTGTGACCCCTGTGTGTGCCCCTGAGGTCATTTGAGGACATGCTGGCGAAAAAAACGTTAAAAGAGCTATCGAATGCGCTTTTCCGCGGCGCTGTAGCTCTATTGGTTCCCGAGTTAGCCGTCGGGTGTTCGAAATCGTTGAAATCAAGAAAATTTGACCTTTGATGAACCCTGGTGACCTGACCTTTGCCCTGACCTTAAAATGACCGAGTGTTTTCCTCCTTATTTTTGACGCTCTTTCGATTGTCGCTTACCGCGTGTCGCTACGTGGCCCAGGAGCCGAGTTAGACGGAGGGGCGTAAAACGCCCCCCTCCCCCAGCACTCGATGGAAAGTTAATGCCACCAACACGGCGGCGCGGGTTAATTGTTATGTTAGCTAGCTCCTGTTGTAAGCTGTGGAGTCGTGGACCTGATCTTGAAGGAACTGGGCCTAACATTTTCATAGCAAACGTAAAAAAAAATGTTTAATAGGTTGTGCAAAAAATAGCATCTTTTATGAAACATTTGCGAAACCTTCAACATCATCCCCAGACCCCATTAGTGCCGAGCTCCCAACGACGACCATAAAAGCGTCCCCATCCCGTCATAGGCGGCGGAACGGGGAGGGCACCGGGGCACCGTGCCCCCTTTGATTTTGGCATTTCAACATTAGCCCAATGAGCGTTGCATGGAAATAATAGGACCAAAAGTCGGCAGTGCCCCCCCCCCCCTTAATTGAAGGTATTCCGCCGCTACTGCATCCGGTCAACGTGGGTTTATCACAAGGATGCTAAGATTTAATTTCCAATCCGAAGCTGTAATGATGGAAAGCAAATTTGCATACATGTGAAACAAGCTGACACAACTAAATATTTCCTCTCTCGCTCCCTCCCACTGATTTACCCATTGCCCTCTTTCTCATTTTACCCTCTCTGGTTTTCCTTTTCAGTTTTTTTTTTCTCTCTCTCTCTCTCTCTCTCTCTATCGCTCTCGCTCTCTCTCGCTCTCTCTCTCTGTCTTCGCTCTCCCTCTCTCTCTCTCTCTATTTCTCTCTCTCCCTCTCTCTCTCTTCCTCTCTCTTTCTCTCTCTTTCACTCTCTCTCTCTCTCTCTCTCTCTCTCTCTCTCTCTCTCTCTCTCTCTCTCTCTCTCTCTCTCTCTATTTCTCTCTCTTTCCTCACAATATTCTCGACTGTCACAGCGTTGTAGGACTTGTTTCAAGACAGGTCCAGGCGCTCCCCACTCCGCACGCCCCAGCCCACACGGCCCAACCGCTCAAACACCCTCCGGCGGATGACCTCTGACCTCGGCGACCTGACCCCAGCCGACCGATCGCGTCCCTCTCCACGCCTCCGCCCCGCTTCCCCCACTACAGCTGCGTAGTAATTGTAGCGTGTGCAAAGGTCACGTGACATTATTTACTTCTGCGGCTTGTTCGGCTGACAAGAGATGGCACTAGTGGTCTGTGGATCAGAGGCGGGGCTAGGTTCTACGACTTCTTGGGGCACACTTTAGGGCAGAAAAGAGGTTTTTTGGCTCCCCATCCCAAAATGCTTCGAATATACAAAAACAAGTTAGATATTCGAAAATCGGAGGACCAAACGGATCGTTTGACGTATCTTGCGCGACTGACAGTTGATCGGTCTTCAAACTACTGAACAAAAACGAGGTGATTAGTAGCAAGTGCTGGTGACTGTACCTCCAGGTTGGCGCGGTCGGCCGGCAGCCGGTAGTTTAGTTACCTCCCCACCCTGATTACAGACGTGCCTCCAGGTTGGCGCGGTCGGCGTCGGCCGGCAGCCGGTAGTTTAGTTACCCCCCCCCCCCGTACCTCCAGGTTGGCGCGATCGACGTCGGCCGGCAGCCGGTAGTTGGTGGTGACCAGCAGGTGCAGCGGGTACACCTTGCCCGGCTCCAGCGGCGGCCCCGTCTGCGACACGTTGGGCAGCGAGCGGCGCATCGGGCCGCCGGCAAACTGGTACTGGTAGGGCAGACGGTGGCCCGAGCGAGGCGTGTGCACGGACACCGACTCGGCCTGGTTCAGCGCGTTACGGTCCGCCTCCGTCAGAGAGCCGATCGAGACTGGCGAGAGACAGACATCAGATTAGGGACGGGAACTGAGGGGTTTGATAGCACATACTGGAGAGAAAGGAAGAGGGGTGAGATGATGGGGAGGAAGAGTGGGGTCAGATACTGGGTTACTTTGGTACGGGGAGAGGAGAAGGGATTAAGTACTGGGTCAGGCTGACAGTGAGAGAGGGAGAGAGGTTACATAGTGGGTCACTGGGGTCACTGCAATGCTGAGAAAAGAGGGGACTGACTAGTCACCCAGATATTTGAGAGGACAAAGGTAACGAGGGAAACAGGAAGGGAGGAAGATGGGGTCAGAGTTAAAATATTCTGAAGCAGATGAGAACGCATGTGAGACAAAGCATCCGACTAATTCTTTAAAAGTGATGCACCATGGAGCTTAATAACAACCTCCAAATCGAACAACACTGCTGAGTTTGGAAGATATGATCACCGTCGGAAAAACTTACGGCAATTATTTCCGAACACAGGTCACCAGCTACTGATAATAGGGAGCCATTTACCAGCGTCTATCAATAAATTGGAAAACGTCACGGATGTCTGGCTCCTAATTACAGGCAATTCGGGGACGTGTCTGAGCATCAGGATAACAGAAACTCATTATCAGGATAAAAAAGCGCCGCCACCCAAATGGGTACGAGTCACGGCCGTTCCCCGTCATAACAGTCCAACCCAACGTTGATCCGAACAAGGTTGGACCGAATGGTCCGTCCATTCGTCCGTCCGTCCGTCCGTCCGTCCGTCCGTCTGTGCTGTGCTGTGCTGTGCTGTGCTGTGTCTGTACTCACTGTCTGATCGGGCGCTGCAGAACTCTGTGCTGTGAGTCTTCTCCCCCAGACCCCCCGTCCGTCTGTCTGTCTGTCTGTACATGTACTCACTGTCTGACCGGGCGCTGCAGAACTCTGTGCTGTGAGTCTTCTCCCCCTCTGTCCGTCTGTCTGTGTCTGTCTGTCCTGTACTGTACTGTGCTGTGCTGTGCTGTGCTGTACTGTGCTGTGCTGTGCTGTGTGTGTACTTACTGTCTGACCGGGCGCTGCAGAACTCTGCTGTGAGTCTTCTCCCCCAGACCCCCCGTCCGTCTGTGCTGTGCTGTGCTGTGCTGTGCTGTGTGTACTACTACTCACTGTCTGACCGGGCGCTGCAGAACTCTGTGCTGTGAGTCTTCTCCCCCAGATCCCCCGTCCGTCTGTGCTGTGCTGTGCTGTGCTGTGCTGTGTGTGTACTCACTGTCTGACCGGGCGCTGCAGAACTCTGTGCTGTGAGTCTTCTCCCCCAGACCGCCGCCGTAGAAGTCACCCTGCGGTGCACACAGCAGTTGTCACAGGGGAAGTTGGGAGTAGCTCAGTGCAGAACACACAGGCTTAGGGCACTCACAAAAGGACAATTGTGAAACAAACGTTATGCAAAAATCAATCGTGAAGGGAGTCAAGACACGAACAGACAATAAACGATATAAAAACAATGATGCATAAAATAGTTAAATGAATATTTACATTGCAGACCGATAGAGCACTACTGGGCAGGGTACATCAGACCAGCGCGGCGGGAGGCTACGCAGCTGTCGCGCTGCAGCAGACCAAAACATCGAGCACCCGCAGATCAGCACTACCCCGGCACTAGCTCAGAGCGAAACAGCGGGAGACCAGCGGAGACCAGCAACCAAACATCGGCCGACCGAGAGACCACCGGGACCATTAGCAGGGACAGGCTGGAGCCGACGAGCCAACGAGTATAAATTATCGCGGGCGGTTCGGAGCCTAGCAGATAGCCCGTGAACGGAGTAGGCGAGTGGGAAGAAGGGCGTATACGTACCGAATTACTGCATTCTCGCCGTGAACACAACAAGGGAGTGGAGAGTTGCCGCCAAGCTACCGGATCCATCAATTTGGGAAACCACACCGAACCCATCAATTTGGGATTTAGGAACATAGCCGGCACTTAATCTGCAGTAGGTTTGATCGATGAAACAGAAAATGGAGGAGACTTGACCTCGTCTAGCTCTAATCCTAGCTAAATTGATAGGAAGCGATTATATCTAGCGATTGATGAAATGGTGCCTGTATCGGAATACTTAGCATCTCAGAAAACAAGTTCCCCTTTGAGGCCCCAGAATAGCGATTAGGTCTATCTAGCGATTTGGTCTTCTTTTGACCGACGGGTCACAATGAAGCATAGCTGTCAAACTGAGCCGATTATATTCTCATCACGGCCAGCCGTTCTGATGTGGTCTAATGGTGTCCCAAAAGAAATCAGTACCGCCCATCCCCGCCCTATCCCACCGGCTGAAGTCGTACTGGCGTTTGCACAGGACCCAACACCTCATTGTTTCACACCATTCAGCACGACCCGTACCACAAGAACAAAGCATTCGCCCAGCCGCGACCTGTCATCGTCCCAGTCCTTCTGTTATGCCCTGATCCAGACTTCTCTATAGAAGAGAAGTCTGTGCCTGATCGGATTAACAGTCACACAAGAGGCCTTTCACCATCTGTGCTGGTCCCCCATCCCCGAACGATCGGAACACACCCAGGGAGCCAGGGGGTACCGACACGTCCTGTCGATAAACGACCACTGATAGGTGGGTAAGCGGAGCGTCCATGAACAATACGGAAAGGAGCAAAAATGCAGGCGACGAGACAAACTACATGGCAAAAAGAAAACGAATAAAAAAGGAAAGAGTGAGGAACTTGAGGAAGTCCGACAAAACGAAAATAAGAACAGCGAGCAGCCAGGACAAAGCCAGCCAACAAAACAGCCGGCCTGGAGGACGCAGCCAGCCGGCCTGATCCCTACAGAGCCCGACAACTGAACAGTCAGCCAGCCCTAGGTAGACAGACAGTGACAGAGACGGCGCCCTGCGGCGTGTCGTCACTCACACCGCCGGCCAGTCCGATGCCGGGCCGGCCCAGCAGCGTCTGGGAGCGAGTCTGCAGGCCGCCGGCGCGCGGCGTCTGCTGCGCCGAGCCGGGTGCTGTGGAGACGGAGGAGCGTCACACGGGGCGCCGGCCGGGCGGCGCGGCGCGCGGCGGCGGTACTCACATAGAAGCCGCCACTGGTAGCCGGGCGGGTACCCGCGTACGGCAGCGTGCTGGACTTCATCCCGTAGCCGGGCCGCGGAGCCGACATTGACGAGCGCGTGACTGTAACGGAGGGACGGCACGGCCGCCGTACACGTGAACCGGCCTCCGGGCGACCCAGGGTGGACAGCCAGCGGTCTGAACTGAGCTTTACCGAGCGGGGACAACTGAACAGACACAGAGCTTACAGCACAGCCAAGGGGTAAACAGAACAGAGCACGGCGCTTACAGCAACAGCCACGGGTAAACTCAATGAATATGGCCCAGCAAATATAATGCGAACAATTACCATCTATATCGCTTTACAAACCAACTAGCATGGCAACTGAGAAGCAAATCGCTGCGTTCGCATAACGTAGCCATAATGTAGGGCTTGGAAGGCAGACAAGAAACGTTGCAGCAATGCGGCCCAAAGCATAGAACATAGGCGGACGGAACAGATAAACGCCTGAGCCAGACAATCAAGAGGGCGGGGTCAAAATGTATTGTCGATAAATCGACAAAGGACTGGCCCAATTAATTGACTTTCAACTTACCTTTTAAATTTATGATGAACTTTGGAGCTACCTTTTCGAGACAGTTTGATGTCTCAATGTTTCCCTAGCGAACTCATGTGCAATAAAATAATACTGTCCTTTCGACACGTTCCGAATAAATCGGTTTAAAATCAAAGCAGCAGCTCCACATGAAAAACTTGTCATGGCCAAATCGGACTTAACACTGTTCAGTAAGACACTACCCAAACGTGGCGTGCCTAACGTCTGTTGTTGGGCACTGCCCGTAACCTACCCTTAATTCACACTACACTTCCCTGACATTGCGTGGCCTGGCCCTCCCTGACTGCCTTCCGTAATTACTATATTAATTCATCACCGCCCGATCGACACCTCCCCTAGCCACTACTTTGGTTTGCCCGGGTGAGAGCCAGAGCTGGTCTCCCCAACTCACTTCTGTAGTTTGGTACTACGCCGTTCTACTCACTTCTGTAGTTTGGCACTGCGCCGTAGGCTCGGCCCGGCAGTGATGAGCGGTACGGTCCGCCCCGTTCGAACTCTTCCTCCAGCTCCCAGGGCCGAACGTGATCGGCGTCCCGCGACGGAGCTGCGCAGGGCGAGGTCACAGGTCAGGCACAGGTCAGAGGCCGGTCAGAGGTCACACACGGGTCACGGGACAGGCACAACTCAAAGGTCACTCGTGGGTCAGAGGTTCGACGTGTGGCGTCATCAGCAGCGGAGCTTAGAGTGGCACGAATCTACCGCATTATGGCTGATACTATCGGCAAGGCAGCACTAGCAGTCTCCAGAGGTTTCCATTAATCTGAATTGACGACTATTGCTGTCAGTTCAAGTTTACAAATGACCTTTAAGAGAGTTCCGTCCAGTGAAAGGAACACGTTATCAAGTACCACATTACACATAGACAGTGCAGAGTTGGCCCGGGCGAGGACTGAGCGGCGGGACCGGGCCAGGAGTCGCACCTGTCTGTCGGAGAGAGGAGAGCAGCGCCAGAGGCGGCGGGTCGGGGCAGGGCCGGCTCCAGAAGTGGGTGACTGGAACCACAGTGGGTCGGTCGGCCGGCCGGCCGGGGCGCCACACCAGCCAGAGCCGGCGGTGGCCTGATGGTAGGAGAGGACAGGATAGGGCAGGAGGTGGGTGGATCAGACATGGGAGGACAGGACAGGGTAGGACAGGACAGTACACATAAGACAGGACAGTGTCAGAGACCTTGCACTGCACTACCATACGCCGGCATCCAACAGGAAGGCTTCAGCAATACCGAGGAAGGGAAAGGTCACACCAGTCATTTATCTTACTTATACTACCATCTGTCCGTTCAGTTGCACAACTAGCGCAATCAATACGTCCCACCCCGGACAGCCCCGCCCTCCAGACACCCCGCCCCGGGCGACTCACATGCATAGATGGGCGACTCGTAGCGCATCCGGTAGGGCAGCTCGTGGTCGGCGTTGGGCGCGCGCGACGCGTTCCGAGGGTCCACGTTGGCGCGCTTCCACTGCTGCAGTTTCTCACGCTCGCGGACCTGCTCCAGGAACACCTTGCCGATTCCGCTGGCGATCTTGTTCAGCTCGGCCTCCTCCCGCTGCCGGTGGGAAGGGGAGAAACGCAGGTCAGACATTTGGGGCAGATACAGTGACAGAGGGTGGAGTCGTTCAAGTAAGCGTCGAAGAACATAAAACTCATTTTGTCATTTTGTCATTTTGGCCGGGATAAAATAATACAAGCCAAGTTACTAAGCTACCGAAACACATTATACGCTAAGAGACTCGTAAATGACAAACGTACCTAACAAGGAGGGAGAATCGAAGAAAATCAAGGCCTGATTTCTATCATCAATATTCCCAACATCTCTCCACAAAAAGAACGAAAAGTCACACACTGCGACACTCTGCTTTCAATCACGACTAACTGGGACTCTGCCACACAGTGACCCACATAGCGCAGCCGTAAGATGAAAATAAAGGGGCGCGGATAATGCCTACCAGCACTGGGATCACTGGGATGAGGTTACCACCCGCGGACCGGCCCGTCGGCTCATGACGTGGGTAATCCACCCGCTGACCCAGCGAACTGCCGAACAGGAGCCGACGGCCGGCCGGCGGCACCCAGAGCCGATCCTCTCTGGGTTTACCGCCGGCCACCGAGCAGGGCGGTGCGCTAAACCGGGTCCGTAGCGCCAGCGGCAGCGCTCACAGCTGGTTAAACGAGGGCGGTGACCCCACTCTGGGTAGGCCGGATTGAGCCGGGGTTTAGCGCCCACTTATAACGTGGAATGTAAAGGACTAAGTGCGGCGAGTGAACTGGGAGCTGGGAGTCGAGCTACTCATGAAGTAGGGCGACCCTGCCGACAGTACTGTCGAACCCTTTAACAGCTGACAGTGTGATAACGCACGTCCCTACGGTACCGGCTGTGGACGACCACTGCTGGCCGGTACTGACCTTCAGTTTGGGGTCGACCTGCTGGTCGGCCTCGTTGGCGGCGTCCAGCTCGTCCAGGTCCGCCTCGTGCAGACTGGACTTGTCCGACAGCCGCCGCCGCCGCTCTGGAAACACAAGTGATGACACAAGGTCAGCGAGCGGGTACTGCCGCCGACACTTCAAACAGACCTAGATACCTGCGGCGGGCGTGCTGTCATTCATCATCTACTCAAGCTTGACTGTTCACACGTGACACGGCAGCCATCAAGCTGTACACCCGGGGCCACGCACACTTGCGAAACCGCACACGCATATTAGCACGCGCCGTTCCCTGTTGATTGCTGTCATATACACGCATATTTGCGCAAATATTCAGTCGCCGTGTCGCCGATTGTATGCTCACATAGCGCAGGCCGGACGCGCCTTCGACTGTTATTACGTCACCGGGCGCCGGCAGGCCATTCAAACTGTGCCGGCGCCGGCGCCCCCACTGAGTGTTTATTGTTGTACGTAGTGCGGTCGGAAATAGAGACGAAACGGACGGAGGGGCGGAGGGATGGACGGACGGAGGGGCGGACGGCGGCCACACCATCAGCACGAATGCTGATGGTGTGTGGTGAACTAGATTTGGAGACCAGGGAACTTGGGAGACTGGGAGATAGGGGTCGGTGTAAGCTGCTCAGCGCTGGTCGGAGTCGGCACTCAATACTCACCGGAGCCAGTGTGCACTGGGGTGTACGGGCAAGACAGACTGGTCGGTGTGGGGGTCGGCGTAGTGCTACTACCTGTAAGGGTCGACGCAGGGATAGGTGTAGGACGTAGGTGTGCTCGTTAGTCACCGTTATCGGGTGTGCGGGTATAAGGCGTAGGTCGATACTGACCGGGGTCAGTGTAGGGGTAATGGCAGGGGTAGTTGTAGGCGTAGGTGCACTCGTTACTGACCAGGGTCGGTGTAGGGGTAGGACGGCGCCGGGGTTGGTGTAGGGGCAAGGTAGGGGTAGTGGTCGGTGTAGAGGTACTCGTTAACTCACCGGGATCGGTGTAGGGGTAGGAGGGCGCCGGTGTAGGTGTGTAGCGCCGGTGTAGGTGTGTAGCGCCGGTGTAGGTGTGTAGCGCCGGTGTAGGTGTGTAGCGCCGGTGTAGGTGTGTAGCGCCTGTGTAGGTGTGTAGCGCCGGTGTAGGTGTGCTCATTACTAACCGGGGTCGGTGTAGGGGTAGGAGGGCGCCGGGAAGTCGTCCCGCTCGATCTTGGCCTGCTCGTTGGCCGACGGCTTCTTGGCGTCCGGGTAGTGGCTCAGCTCGATGGGCTCCTCGTTGTTCATATAGGGAGAGCGTGGCCGAGGCGTCTCCGACTCCATCTGGTTGACGAGCGCCTGCATACCGGACCGAGAGCCCGGACGGCCGAATACCATCCGGCGGCCCGACGAGCCGGCACCTACCGGGGGACGCAGATAGACAGAGGGCACAGACACAGAAACACCATACGACGGCCGGAGGGGCCGGCACCTAAAGGAACACAGACAGACAGAGGGTCAGACAGGTAATCCGGTCCAGTCAAAGACCATACGGCGACCCGAGGAGCCCGCACCTACCAAGGATACATTCAGACAGTCAGTCAGACACAGAGTCGGGTCGACCGAACATCATACAGTCCCGCTCTACACCAGCCTTTTCAAACAAAAAGCCAAGTGCCAAACTAAAAAAGAGCACGCCAGTTCCACTTCCGTGTTCCCTTCACCACACCCACACCATTCACGACCCAGCCCGACGGCGCTTTTCGACGGCACTCGGACACAAGGTTAAGCCCACTTGGTACATCAAACGACTCATCTGCATAAACTGCGTGAAGGTCGGCCGGCGCTAACGACGTCAGAGCAGCACAATATGCCAGTCACGCGGCGTGGAACAGAGGCAGGACCGGGCCCGGACAGACGGACAGACAGAGAGCTGCGTGTCACTGGTGCGGGGGGGGATGTGGAGTGGGGGAGGAGCAGGGTTTCCAACGGAAAGAGCAGTCTTACTGCCTTTCCGTAACGCCAAGGACACTAGCATTTAGTGAGGTGAAATCGGAGAGGAGAGATGCTGAGTGGTAGCTACCGGGTGCTGAACGATACTGTCTCTGATGATAGAGCAGATATGTCTGATATAACTGCGGGAGAGCGTACACCGATCTAAGGACTAGCCACACCTGTCTGTATCTCAGTCCGTCCGTCTCTCTCGCTCTCCGCCCTCTGCGGCGCTCACCGCTGGGCGGCCGGTGGAAGTGCGGGCTCTTGGGCGGCTTGTCGTACGGCTCGATGGGCCGGCGCAGGTAGCCCATGGTCGGCCCGTCGGCCAGGTAGCTCTGGGTGTAGATGCGCGTCACGTCCACCGGAGTGGTCATGTTGCTGCGGTACTCGCGGAGCAGCAGGCCAGGACTGGCTGACCGGTACCCAGAGTACTGGCGGTACAGAAGGATGCAGTCAGGCTAGACTCGGGCACGCACGGGTACAGTCAGGTCAGACGGAGTACTGGGTGAGTATACAAAAACAAAGTCGTATATACATCAACCCTTAGACATCAGTCTGGCGGACCATATATTTAAGTGATCAAACGGTTACTTGATCACGAGACTCGAGGGTGAATTGAGTTTACAGAGTACCACAGCTGGTGAGTTACGGTACCTTTATCGTCATCCAGAGTTGTAACGTGACAAACCGCTCTGTACTCTACCGTCACAACATCTCAACAACAGACGTCTGTGACAATACACAATGACAGACACAATGACATAAACCGTGAACCATGGCCAGACCATATCCGACCAACAACAACGGATGGGCATGGGTCAACAGCAAACCTGGCCATATCTTCTGCGTAGATCAGAGGTCTGCAGTACTGTTTTCCACACCTCCATATCACGGTGCGAGGAGGGGCATGTCTCATTAACCAAGGCTATGATGTGGGTCCTCGCCGGCTGCCGAGCCATCAGGACCTGAGTAGGCCTGCGCCCGAGCCGGTACTTACCCTGGAGAAGCTGCGATACGGGCTGGCGATGCCGCACGAGCCGCTCACGGACGGTGTGCGCGACCGGGAACGGAACGAAAACTGCAACACAGCGGGCGGAACGTGCTAGGAGCGCGGCGGACCGGGCCGGGCCGGGCAGCGCCGGGCCGAGCAGCGCCGCGCAGAGGGAGACACGCAGGCCAGCAAACTCCGGGGCACAAAACATACTGCACAAGACAGCGCCGGCGGGGCATTCAAACTGAGAAAAATGCACACGTTCGCAGGGCAAAGCTCAACGGCAAAGCGGCTCTCAAAGATGCTGCCATGATGCTGCGCTGAAATTACGAAATCTATAAAAATAAATAGGTTTACAACAAAAATATTCAAAAATAAAACAAACAGATCAGTGAAGCATATATCACAGGGTCAGCATGCAACATGCCAGTGGCCAAAAGTCACGTCCCTCAAACCGAGATATGGCAGGACCGCAGCCGAGAGGGCATCGACAACGGTAGTCGTCTACACCTAGCGGGCACACCGCCCGCATTACCACTGCCGCGGTGCACGGGGTTTGCTCGGGTGCGCTTACCTTCAAATCCGGGCGTCATTGCAAACTGCGACTTATTTTGCAGTAGGCTTTCATATTGTGCTTCAGGCTACAGTTAAATGGGCCTCAAAATCAGCTATTATGGTCGCCTTGATAACCTGCGTCTCGCTGGCCGGTCGCCATAGTTACTTGTGTCACGCTGGCAGTGGTGGACAGCCGGTCCAGCTCCGCGCTCCGGTCGGCAGTTGCTATGGTTACCTGCGTCTCGCTGGCGGTAGTAGACAGCCGGTCCAGCTACGCGCTCCGGTTACTATGGTTACCTGCGTCTCGCTGGCGGTGGTGGAGAGCCGGTCGAGCTCGGCGCTCCGGTCGGCGGCGCTCTCGTCCCCGTCGTGCTGTCCGTTGATGATGACGCCGTTCTCGGTCGGGCCGGGCCCGCAGCGGGGGTGCCAGATGGCCGCGCCTGCCGCGGGTCACACCCGGGTCACACACAGGCAGAGGGAGCCGCACACACGGGCCGCTACGGACCCCGCACCGACACACAGGACTCGTGAGGGGAAACAGACATTATTGAACCCCTCGGATACACCAGCTAACCCTGCTTACCACACGTCTCTTAGCTTTATCCCTAGCCGACCTAACTCAAGTCATATTATTTCGAACGCGCACATCGACCATCATTTCGACTCACTGCTCACGTTCCAGCCTCAATAGTCACACTACCCTTATAGTTAAACACCCCTCCCGAGCGCCCGCTGTCCGGCTGCCGCCATACACGCACCTTGGAGGTACATCTCCTCGCCGTCGCCGAAGGGGTCGCCGCACTTGGTGCACCTGGCGCAGGTGGGGTGGAAGTGATGGTTGTCGCCGGCCTGCAGCACCTTGCCGCTGATGTAGCGCTGGCAGTAGGCACACTTGACCCCATACTCTGCCTGGTAGTGCTTCTCGCAGAACGGCTTGCCGTCTCTGGGAAACACGAACGGGCCAGGGTGGTCACTGCGGGCAGTTACTGCGGCGGAGGACATGGGCTTACAAAAGCAAGCACGATTTCATTCTCCTGCTCAGGAATAGTTACATTGCTACCATCCTGACATATTCGGATAGGAATAGTATTTATCTATTCATTCAGCGTCTTCAACCATGAAAGTGCGACCGATGCGATACTATCGAAGCAACGCCTCAGTCCATGTTGACCAAATTATCGCCACACCACTGAAACATTGCGAACCATCACAACATATTGCAGAGACACACGAGCATGTCAACCATTGCAACTGACGGCCTTCACAGCCCATTTACCTCCTCCCAAAATATTCCATGAAAAGACTGCAGCCTGACAATGTATTACGGGCAGAGAGTTGCTGAACAACAGATGGTCGGGGGAATGTCCCATTTGATAAAATCACGAGACAGACAGCGCGGAAACGCGTCGGTAAATATGCCAGTCAGGCACTTATGCGAGTCAAGTACGCTGGTCAATTAACCGCTCTACTCGTATCGCGTGCACTGAAAGGCCCTCAATTGATGTGTAAGGCCGCATCGAAATTATCTGCAGCGATAATTCTAAAAAAGAGGAATCGCTTTTCACAATCAGTCGAAGCCGAGTTTATCACGCTGCTCGGAGTTTGTCACGAGCCGGGACCCGCGTGCTCCTGTGGTGGATAGCGGATTCTCCACCCCCCCCCCCCTCCACCGACGATTCGTCAGCATGGCGCGTCCATCAGACCCCCCTCCCCCCGGAAAACTGCCAACGTCAACAGAAGACCCGCCCGCCGGCCGGCCGCTTCCACTCCGCGTCTCTGCCACTCAGCCGCCGTCAACACGGGGACAGAATCGCAGCCGAGACGCATCCGCTGTCTTCCTCCTGCTGTCTATTCTTGAACACGCGGAGGGTGCAAATACGCCGACCGCTCAGCTGTTCCGCCGGCCGACAGTAGAGTATCGGGCCGATAGGACAGCTGTGCGCCGGCAAACAGTAGAGTGTCGGGCCGACAGAAGTCTGTGTCGGGCCGACAGCCGGTTAGCCCGGAGATTCGTCCAGCTGTCGGGACCGGCCGGCCCGGGCGGCGGCGCAGTGCTCCTGTCGGCTGCCACTCGGTTGCAGCGCCGGCGATGGCGGGCGGATTGTAAATCCCGGCCGGGATGCCGCGCGGCGCTGGAGCGGCCGTGGTGACGCGGCGGCGCGCCTCCAGAGACGGTGACATCACCGGCCGCCGCCCCCGCAAATAGCCGGACACCGCGCCGCCGTCCACCGGCCGGCAGACTCGGAATAAATACGGCCGGCGCTGCGGCGCCACCGAGGGCCCCGCGAGGGGCGACACTCGCAGCCGGCCACTACAAACACAGTCGGTCCAGAGACACTTCAGATCGCTGACACACGGCCACTGGGACACTTCCAGATCGCTGACACACAGCCACTAAAACCGCAGCACCCAGATAATCAGCGGGACACTAAGTTACTTCAAATCCCTGACGTGTAGATTTGCAATACATCCAGACGAATCTACGATATCCAAGTCGGATTCCTGGCATACGGATGGATCAAGAATCTATCGGACCCTCGCGTTGGACGGGCCTAAACCTTTGGTATGACGTCAGAGACACAGGCTGCTTCCCTGCTAACGGACGGGTATCGAAAGACGACAGTATACTACACACCAGCGCTGATAACAGTCGACTGACGGCAATCGTCGAGTACCCACTTCACTCAGCGGCAGATAGAACACCGATAGAACAGGGTAAATCGAGCCAAAGGTTTCGACTCCCGATATACCTTTCGATTCTTGGGAAATATCATCTGATATCACCCTCCCATTCTTCGCATCTCTTTTACGATATTTACCCATGACGTTTACCTGACCATCTTTGAAGCGAGCACGGTCAGTCCGTACCAAGGCTGATACCCAGGCGCCCACCCCAGCCCGTGCTCCTCACATTTGCGCCTCGGCTCAGACCACTCCCGATCAGCACAACATTCCATCTCGTCCCGCCGCGGTCAGCCGGATCGTGTCTGACCGAGGAGCGGCCCGGTCGTGACGGAGGGGCCTGGCCTGGCCGGGCGGCTGGGGAGGGGAGAGACGGCCGGCGGGCAGGTACCAAAGGTCAGCCGCGCCCGCCGGTGACTCACGGCGCCCCCCCCCCCCCCCCCGACAGCCGCCGCCGCGCCGTCCCTCCGCGGACGGACGCCTCTGCCGATCATAATGCGCCGTCACGCGGCAGCAGCCCGGTCAAGGCAGCGACCAGCCACGTCCTCGGCACGCCAGATCGCCGCGCCGCGCCGCCAATACCAGCTCAGATCGGCTCCATACGGACCGGAGAGAGCGGGCTATCCCGTCACCCCCGCTGACACGACAGCGGCGTCCGGCGGCGCGACATCGCGCGGCCCGCAGCGGCTCGCTGTCCGTAACCGTCCCGCGCCGGCTCGGCCCCGATCTGCACCGACCTGGTCCGTGCTAATGCATATATCGCGCCGTGGGAGCTGGCAGGGTCAGTCCCACGATCAGAGACCCATCAGAGGGTGCCATTAACACGTCATCCGCTCCGGTCCAGACTGGCCCGGCGACAGACCACACCAGGGACCGCCCGCCGGCGTCCGCCCACCAGTGTATATTTAACAACGGACCGATCAATGGTCGCTGTTGCGGAGAGCGCCGGTGCCAGCCGCCCGGGAGCGGCCCACATCCCAGCTGTGAATTCTGCACGGCAACTGATCGAATCAATGTACTGCACCAGTGGCAACATATACCTCCGCGCCGCCCGGTCACCGCTCACCGGTCGATCTCTACCATGGGGGTCTGTCCAGAGTCTGTCACCTGTCACCCAGCCAGACACAGTCGGTTTAAAAGGGCCGTTTGGACGGAGTCAGAAGGCACGTGACGCAGCCATCTGGCGTCCTCCAGCCGCTCGGCGCCACTCAGGTATGAGCGATGGGACAGCCGGCCAGCTCCGTGACGCCGTGAGGGGGCCGTGAGGAGGGCCCCGGTCTCAGTTTGGCCGCTGCTGCGCGGGCTCCCAGGTCCCACTGCCAGCACTGTCAACATGACACGTATGACGCAGCTCAGCCGACCAGAGGGGCAATTAACACAGATTAAACGAGACTAGCAATGGAGGAAGTGCAAGCATCACCCAACGTACCGACTCAAATGAATGCCTGTAAATTTATTCTTGAACTCCCCGAGGCGCAGGAGCACGAAGTGCATCAAACCAACAGCACTACCACGCAAATTCAGGCCCACATAAACAACGTGTCTAGACATGGAATCCAGTCAGTCGTTCTGGCGGCGCCGGTTAGCGAGGCCGGGGGCCGGGGCGGCAGCAGCCGACAGGACGTGCCTAACAAGCCCTCCGTCTGGCGGGCCGGCGTGTGCCGCACTGGGGCCGCCATGAGCGCGTGTCGACCGCCAGCTGACGGCGGCGGCACACATCCGGTCGACGGGAGACGGAGACGGCGTCAACGACCAACCAGCGACGGAGGGGGAGGGGGGGAGGTACAACACGCCAGATTGGTACAACTACAACTAACGAGACTGGACGAGTCCGTGAATCTCCAAACTAGATATGGATCTCCTGATGTTCACGACGTCATGAAAAGAAAACAGTACATAGATCCAGGTAGATAACAGATCCCATGTCAAAACCTTGTATCTCTAAATCAATGAATCTCACGAAGAGGTTCAAAGTTCAAACCCAGATCTTCCATAGCAACATTTAACAGTTTCCACTCCAGACGTTATTATGCATCTGCCGAGGATCCCGTGGATCCATTAATACAACTTCCCACGATTAATGCTGACAAGTCGGCGTTGGCTGTTCCTGGTCGGTCATTCTCAGACGGCGTGATCCGGTCTCACCCCGCCCCACTGCGCGGAGGGGGCGGGATGCGGTGGGCAGACCGGCTGTCCCGCTCTCAGCTGATGGATGGTCGTCAAACAGTCCTGGTGGCGGCGGCGGCCGGGTGGCTGCCACAAGGCCGCTCGCCGGGTCAGCCGTGCTGCCACACCGTTACACCGGCCCGCACAGTGGGGAGGCCCGCGGCCCGCGCCGACCACAGGGGTCGGCCGGCTGACACGGCGTGACGGGCTACCGGCTGACTGACGAACAGATACACGGACCGAGAGACGGGTCAATAATAACGGACGGTTAGACGGACCGGCGGAAGGATGACAAATTCCAGACAGATGTGTGCAGGGACTCCGCACTTAGGAACGAATGATGAGCGAAGGGTTTACTGAAGTAGGGAAACCACCAGCCAGCAGCGGGAGGACTGACGCGCTACTCGATCCTCTCCGGGGTGACTGACAGCCTGTCCCGGCGACTGTGAGTATGATTGAGTGCGCGAATCTCGGAGTAGTTGCCGGACCAGGTCACGGACGACCGGTCCCTCGCCGAGCTCCGGTACGGGAGCCGGAGTCCACCGCCGGCGGACCCGGCGGCCGACCAAACGAGCCAGGCCGCCACAGAACTCACCACCTCGAGAGAGAATCAACCACCACCAGTCACGCCAGCCAAACATAGCACGCGAGCTGATGGGTTCTTCTCGGCCGGACTGAGGTAGAATGACTGCTAATGAATCTATTTCCCTCAGCTTATCTCCAGTTTACGACACCATGAAAACAGATGAGATGAGGTCAGCCATGAAAGCAAGAAACCCATCGTGGCAGTACGTCGGCCAAACCGTAAGAAACCAGAGACTATCGGAAAAGCTACCTCAGTAAGGGAATACCTGCAGCAAAGCGCCGTTACCCGCTGCGTGACATGCCTCGCACGGCGCGGCGCGGCGTGACGTGACAGCCGTCCGTGACTCGTGACGAGAAGTTCGTGACGAGTCCGTGATGCGGTACGGACAGACAGCACGCATCGGGGGCCGGTCACAGCCCTGTGCATTCTACGTAGTTGATGACTCCATTGCATCTTTACCGTACCAGACAGGTGCAGTGTTTGCTTTCCATCGTGGCAACTAAAGACACCATCTCTCAACCGTGACAGTTGAGCCAGCGAATTCAAGTGAGACAGGTAACAGGACGTCCCTCTGCCGTGACGAGTATCACCACTGATCCTCCACTGAGGCAGTTGACAGTTCAGTCCTCTGCCACGACAGGTGACACCAGTGATCCTCTCCTGAGACAAGTGACAGTGCGGCCCTCTGATGTGACAGATGGCACAAGTGATCGTCCACTGATTCAGGTGACAGCAGCTCCCTCGTGCCGCCGCTAACAGCATACTGACAGGTTACATCAGGTTACATCAGACACCAATCAATTATCGTATCACGCGATAATGGGTAGCCTAGTTACGGTAACAAACACTGGATCTTTACACCAGCCACGGAACGGATACATTATACGGCATTACGTCATGCATTATGCTGCACCGCACCATGAATTCAATTACCACTATGTGAGCTATTCGCATGACGTCATCATAGAGCCTGAGTAAACTCTGAATACTCTGAACTCCGAGGCTGCAGTAGTCGACCACATGGCACATATAGTCAAATATGGGCATACCTACTCGTCATATATGTATTGATATTCATCTATCATTGACATCTTCTAGGGCATTCGGACCGCTATATTTGTCCTTCGCACTCGCAGCCCGACACAAAGTGAGAGACATGACGACACCCACTTGGCCGCTTCGCTCGCGGTCTGGCAGTCTCGGGTCCTAATCCGACCCCTCCCCCTCCCTCCACACACACAGAGTGCTCGGTAACCGTACCGGACTGTGGAGGCAGGGTGTCTCTGAATAAAGGATGCGCCACCGCGGTGTGTGGCGGGGCCGTGAAACGAACCGCCGCGGCCAGCCGCCACCACCGAGCCCCGAACATTGATCCTGCCCGGTAGGCGGCAGGTACCGGCTACATATACAGCCCGTGCGGGACCGGGCGATCCCCAGAGCGAGCACAGCCGGAACACGTGAGCTGACCGGAGCACAGACGGAACACGGGAGCGGACCACAGCACAGCCGGAACACGTGAGCGGACCAGAGCACAGCCGGAACACGTGAGCTGACCGGAGCACAGCCGGAACAAGTTACCTGACCAGAGCACAGCCGGAACACGGGAGCGGACCACAGCACAACCGGCACACGGGAGCGGACCAGAGCACAGCCGGAACAACACGGGAGCGGACCGGAGCACAGCCGGAACACGGGAGCGGACCGGAGCACAGCCGGAACACGTGAGCGGTGGTAATGGGGGTAAATGTGGCAGAAATGGGCGAGGGATAAGTTGGGTGAGCAGGAGGGACAGCATGAACACCGCACCAAAGAGGGATGAGCCGCTCATCGGCGGGAGATTGCCAGCTGCCATCAGTAGTTCGCAAATCGTCATAAACAGACGAGACCAATGTGAAATAGGCTAAAACGGCCGTCTCTAAATTGTTGACATGCCACTGAACCCCGATCATCAAACAAGCATACGTGAAGCTATCTTCAGCTGGGCAGCTAGACTTTGGCACGAAACAGATCTTGAAAGAGATAAAACATCGGCTGTAGCCAAATACGGACTCAGTCAGAGTGAAACCCGCACTATCAAAGGACACCGGGCGACGAAAGGACGCCCGCATAGTCTGGAAATGCGCAGAAGCTGGAAACATTTCAAATGTCACGGCCGGCGTCTTCCTTATTGCTATTATTACCCCTCCAAAAAGGTAATAAGTGTCGACTGCCAGCAGTCGACAGCTTGGCAGGAACTTCTCGAAATTCACGACATAATGCTCCCGTGAAGTGCCCTTATTAAGTCTCCCTGTACGTTCCACCGCTCATGGGAGCGGTCTGTACCATATGAAGGTTTCGTGAGGTCATATTGGGCTATGTGTCTGGCCGCACGCTGTGCTGATGTGGCAGCCGAGTGAGCCGACGACCCACTCTGCACGGCTACAGGACAGCTGACGACTGCAGCATACCGCCCATCGTCCCTTCTGCCGGAGCGTGGGAGCAGCCCGTCTGCCCGGCGGCTCCCGTCTCTCAGCGGGAGTCTCGTCAAACAACGCGCGGCTCTGCCGGACTCGTGCAATAGAGACGCACTACAAACGGCGTGATAGCGACTCTACGAAGATGTGAGAAGGAAAGGAAAATACAGGGGTAGGGAGGCAGTCGGGTGTTCCACGACCCTTCCGCTTGTGTTGTGCTTGAATGCCGATCATGTGACCACGTTGATAGTAATTCCCAGCGTAGTATCTCTCAAACGTACTCCGCTAGTATCGGGAGCGGCGCACCGTCAGATTACCACTAATACACCCGTAAAACCACATTCAAGTGTTGTAAATCTCACCACAAACGCCCTCAGCTGGCCACTGCGGCCTGCCAGTCTAATCCAGCTCTCCTCTGCCGTCTGACCCCGGTCCGGCTGAGCATCCCCTGGGCTACCGACCGAGACTGCCATCACTCCCATTATGTAGCAGGCCAGGAGCCATGCAGATTACATATCATCGCCCGGCTGTGAGGACTCACCTGGTCATGTACTCCCCGTGCAGCAGCGCCTGGCACGTGGTACACTTGAAGCACCATATGTGCCACGGTTTGTCGAGCGCGATCAGCGCCTGGGATTCGGTCAGGTCCTGCTGACAGCCAGAGCACTCTGCGGGACGCGGCAGAGGTCAGGTCAGGTCAGGTCAGAACAGGTCACACAAGATGTAAAAACGTGGTGCAATGTAACATTACACATGGCAGGCGACAATGCCTGGCACACATTTCGGCTGACAGGATTGATTAGTTAGTCACGCACTCGTCCGGATAAGTGGATAAACATGGTGAAGAGCTGCCCCAGTGGCGACTCTGTTCGCAACTGGGCTGTTCATCTGCATATCGGCTCTGTTCTCGGCTTTGATCAACACTCGAACAACATCCAGAACAGAGCCGAGCACATTATCAATTCATATGTCTACAGGTAGCCACCTCAAACGAGCACCAATACACCGATCCCGGCCGCCCCTCTCTGTCTCCAGCGCAGTCACCGGGCCACATTCACCTGACTGCCACCCGCGGGCGGTCCATTGTTGGTCCGCTGGCCGGTCATCACTCGCCACCTAATCAGCTAATGTGGGGTCAGCGCGCAGCGGGGTCAGCCGGCCGTCCCCAGCGGCCAACTCGGTGCGGCTGCAGAGAGCCAAGCAGGACAGGGGATGGAGGAAAAGGGAGAAAGAGGGACATCCTGACGGCGACCGGTGCATAGCGGCAGCCGGGGCGCAATGGGGCGGCCCCAGCGGCGAACTCGGGTGCAGCGCTGGAGGGCAGAGGCCAGAGGACAGAGGGACATCCTGACAGGAGCAGCGGTCGCCAGCGGAGCGAGGCGGCAGTACGCGACGGAAGAATCCTTTCTACGCCGTACAGGAAGCGACCGACCGGAGGCGGACGGGGGCGGCTGTGTGGGAGGAACGACTGTTGTATTGTAAGAGTACTCTACTTAACGACAGTCGTTTGGCGTGTACCCCGCCGAGCTCACGTCGACCTTTCAAGTAACCGGTAATGTAACGAGCCGAGGTGGGCTCAGCCGGCCGGCACTGTAACAGCTGAGCCACGGTACATAGAATACTAGGTAACACCGGTTTGTCCGCTCAACACAGGGCCAATGGTCACCACTTTCTTCAGCTGACGTCTGTGACCTTGAGCTGACCTAGGATGATAAACAGCTGACAATTTAGGCCATTTGGAGCTCACTTGACAGCTGAAGAGCGTGCTTTAAAATATAAATATTTGTCAGGCACTGACAAAAGATATTATTCACCAGTCATTTTTTAAGCACATTCTGTCATAAATTAGTTGACTCCCTCTGGTCTTCCACACGGCAGAAAATGCAAGTGCGAATTCTGCCGTCTTGAAGTGAGCCAAACGCTTATGATACACATGATCGTTTCTCTCAAATCACAACGGAAACTGCGAGAAAACAAGAGAGAGTCGGACTCTACAAATGAATGAATTTGGAAGAAAAATAGCTGTATTTTTTCCTGTGGAAATGTTGACTTTGAAAACATTGGCCATCAACTTTAAAATTGCCCCCAAATATGAAAATGTGTGAATTGACAAAACAGGCAATCTTGCTGTTTTTGCCCAAGTTTGTTCATGATTGAGAGAGATTCGATGCGAAAATGCACTGATATATACTTTTGAAAGCGAGGTCTCGATCAGTGTATTAATTTTGATTTTTAACTTAACGCTAGTCCCACTTTTCCCTCCAAGAAAATATATTTGTCAATTTTTCAATAATCATATTATGCGTCATTGCTTTAAAAATAAAGAGAGTCGGACCGTAATTCTTTCAAAATGACTGATCGTGCTCAATATCTATCGGAATATATCAACAGATTGGCCAGACTCATTGGCTAAATATGTTTAAATTGCATTTTTCTTACTTTCTACAGAATTTCCTGCAAAATTTTACTGTAGTTTAAGCTGCGTTTCCTGCAGATTGTGTTCACAGACCAATGGGAGACAAGTATTTCTTCATCAACAGGTTTATTCGCCATCAATTGGTCTAGCTGGTGTTTTTCGTATGCGCAGCTTATTTCACAGCTGCGTAAGAACACGTTCGCTTTAAATCATTATGGGTATTTCTTTTCGGAATATCAAAGGTCAATGTTGATGTGTTTCATAAGATTTGTGGTGGCGGGATTATCGTCATTAACTAATTACTTGATATCAGATTTTAATGGGGAGTGGTGTAATTCCCGCACGACTGTTGACTTTCATTGTAATTGCCTGAGCTGGTTCCTGGGCCGCCTCAGATAGCAGGATGGTGTGTCAAGTATCAACTTGACAGGAAGGTGGGTACCCAGACTCTGAAATTTCTGTGTAATTTGCGCCAAAAATTAGGTACCTATTTGTGCAAAAATTAAACCCTTTTTATATAAAGCACATGTGCACATCTACCGATCAAGGCTATATCAAGGCTATGGCGTCTGCCGCCATGCGCCGAATTCGGCGCATGCGAAGTTACCTACGCCGGACATGCGCTGAAATTTTCGGCGCAATCCCGCCACTATGCCGGACATATAAGGCGTAACGTGTGTTATTTCCAGTCTGGTACAAAACAAAAATCAAACCTTACCTAACCCCATGTTGCATGTTCATATGAACTGTAGATCAGAGGCCAGTTTTACCAACAGAAAAATAGCAGCCCGGCGCAATTTTTCTGTCAAAAACCAGCCGACGAGTTTCACCAACCAGGCGAGAAAATATCCGCCGGCGTGAAAAAGTATCAGCCAGAAAAATAGCCAACGAGTTTCACCAACGGCAAATGCGGCATTAATGGAGTGTTATTTTGCGCCATTATTTGTAGAAAAACAGCCAAAAAAAATAGACGGGGGACCCCGTCTATTTTTTTGATGTCGTGTTGGAACAATTGGCCTCATTTGTTACTAATTATCGTGATTTGCGCTTCCCAGTTGATATAATAATTTAGTATCATTCATGGCCAATTTGTAAAGCCTGGACTTCAAGATTAGAAGAGGAATACTGATGATATTGCGTAAAGAAAGAGCCTTTGTCACCAGGCAGGACCAAAAGGAACCAACAAGACTGGTGTTTGGTGTTGTGTTAGTTTTTTCGTTTATATTATCTTTTTGCTACAAGCACCCAACAGCAAGATGATAGCACATTATTAACTAGTGGACAGCTTACAAGTTCATTGCTCGTGCGAGTCGCATGGAAGTGGAAAATAATGATGGAAGATCATTTTCGAAAATTGAAGGTGCTTGAACAAATGCTGGAAGGAGAGGCAGAGAGGGTAGGCTCATTGGACTCAAGATTTTAAATAAATATGTCACTGTTTTCACATATTCAGCTACATTTGACAATGCAAGGCGCCAACTACTGATACCACTACTAAACTCACCTGTTTAAACTCACCTGTTAGGTTTCCACAACCTTGGCTCGTAAAGGAAGGAGTGGAAACCTATTGCGTGCAGAGACGCGCCAATTCCTTGGGTGGGCAGATGGCTGGACCTCAGGCAAGGAATTGGAATGGTGCGTCTGCATTTGGTATAACACTGAAAAAAGAAAACTGGTGCGTGTTTTAAGTGCCAGAATCCTAGACAAGATGATCAATTATGTAAATGAGAAAAGAGGGTACCGAAATGTGATACGTTCTCGGAAGGAAAGGTCAGGATAGGTAACCTAGGTTAGTCCACCCGGTCCAGCTCGAGAAGGGCGGGCAGCAGCTACCTAGGGGGTAAGGGCGGAATATGATAGGTAGCCCAGGCGCGTATAACCCCGCCCCAACTTGGGAAGGGTGGGGCGCTTACCTGGGGGGGGGGGATGAAGGATGAGATGTGGATCGTTTGCCTTCTCTTATCCTGTGTGTTCGTACAATCTACTGCCCAGTGCGGCTTTCAGTCCCTTTTTAAACTGCACCAGGGACTCCTCGTTCACCAGCCAATCTGGGAGGGCATTCCAATCGCGCACGACTCTGTGGGTGAAAAACCGTGACCTTGCATCTATAAGACTCCGACACGTTTTTATCTTTCTACTATGCCCGCGCGTTCTGTTGTCGGCCTCCAGATCCCAGAGGATCTCCGGGGATATCTTACTGTGGCCGTGAAAAATCTTCCAGCATTTGATAATATCGGCTCGAAGGAGGCGTCCCTTCACAGAGAATAGGTCAAGTTCCTTTAGGCGATCACCATATTCCATATTGCGGAGCCCAATCACATTGCGAGTCCAGAGCCTTTGAACAGACTCTAATCTTTTGAGATCCTGTACATAGCCACTGTTCCAGATCGGTGACGCGTACTCGAGAATGGGGCGAATGTGAGATTTCAGTATATGAGTCATAAAGTCAGGCGAGCGACACCTGGTCGATTTCAAGAAATTGTGAGCAACTCCTCCAGCCTTCGCTGCTATGCTGGCACAGTGTTCATGGAATTTCATCTCGTTGTCGATGATAACACCCAGGTCACTACATGACGTAACGCAGGGAATTGTGTCACCAGCCAGTGTGTATGCACGGGGCTCGAAGTCATGGAATCGTCGCCTAAATCGTATGACGGCGCACTTCCTGAGGTTCATGCTGAGACCCCAAGACTCTGCCGTAGAGTGGAGCAAGTCTATATCCTTTTGTAGCGCCTCTTCACTGGTGTTGTGTTTATCGTTGTCTAGTTTGATAAATACTTTAAGATCGTCAGCAAAGATCTTATAACTGCACGACAAACTGGACGCAACGTGGTTGATGTAAACCAGAAAAAGAATGGGTCCTAAAACCGATCCCTGAGGAACGCCACTCCGAACCTCCGCAGCTGAACTCGTGGTGCCCTTAACAAGAACCTGCATCGTACGCCCCACCAAGAAATCTGTCAGCCATGTGATAAGTCGCCCTTGGACACCGACTAACCTGAGTTTTTCTAGAAGAATGGTATGGCGCACCACATCAAAAGCCTTTGAAAAGTCGAACAGAACTAGATCAACGGGATGGCCCAGATCTAAGGCTACAGTTACCTCATCGTAGGTCAGGAGTAGCTGGTCTTCCGTGGATCGTCCTGGACGAAAGCCGAACTGTTCGTCACTGAGGATCTGATTTGCAATGAAGAATGCGTAGAGCTCTTTGGAAATTATCCTTTCAAGACTTTTGCAAGATACAGACGTGAG